AAATGAGAGGATTACCATTCATTCATCACAGTTCGTTTTCATTCAGTTTTCACTTTTTAATTTTAATCTGTGTTGTGTGAGCCTCTTATTATTTAGGTCTTAGCTCATGTTACAGTGTTTAAAGAAATTAAAATTTGCAGAACTATTAAACAAATACGAATTCCTCTAACATTATTTAATACTGGTTTATTAAAATTAGATACATTAATAATTGAAGTATTTTATGTAACTCGACATTTAAATGAAACACTTTTAACTGTTCGGAACACCACACAGCGTTGTAACCAGCGTTAGATTTGGCTTTGACATTAGGCCGCTAGAGGCAGAGTAGCCTGACTGCAATTTTATGATGACTTATTTATATTTTTAAAGTCTAAAAGCTTTTTATTTTCCTCCTTATTGAAAATCATGTTTTTTTAATGGGCCTCTCTGGCTCTAGCAGCCTGATTTATAGGTTAAAATGACTTAACTAATATCTAAGGCTAATAAAGTACCTATACTTAATGGTTATAAACCCATTAAGTATAGGTACTTTATTTAATAATTATTTTAATAAAATAATAACAATCATGTATCTCTTCATTTTACTTAAATATAATAATGGCAAAAAAATATGTCGTCACTTCTTTATCACTAGCAGCTAATGAGTTTCGTTATAAAATAATTCTTCATTAGCGTCCTAGAATTAACTAAAACAAATATATTCCAGAAGTTTCCTCAACGATTCGAATTATCTTTTTAAATTCTCAACTCTTTTAAAATTAGGTTCTCTAGCGACTGACACATAGTATACGAAGAATTAAAAAAATATTATCTGTGTTTTTTGGGTAAACATTATCTGTGGTGGACAGGTGCCAGGGTGACACACCACTAGGGAACAAAACTCCCGTACGATAGCAGATGCATACATACAACAATACTTTGGAGCTAAGTACTTCTAAAAAATTCTTATTTTTTATTCATTTATACATTTATTTTTATTTCTTTATACAATTTTTTATATATATTCGAGCGCATGTAATCCGTCTAGCGAAAATGTCGCGCTCCGAGACTTACACTTGTCATGTTAGTCAGTGCGGATGATAATTTATGATAGAGTATATTGTTTGTTCCATTTTGTTAAAATAATGTATTAAATTTAATTCTGCCGGCATATAGGCAAAGGCACTTTTCGAATTCAGGGTAAGGAAATTATCTATTTTCCCTAGCTTAAGGCTTAAGCACAACGCGTCAAAAGGGTTTTATACTTAACAGCAAAGAAAATAATACGGATTGTCATTTTTAAGAGTCTTGCATTTAATACATAAATGAATGGATGTCTCTGGCGAACTCTAATTTCTGATAACAATGATAACCTAAAATAAGCTAAGTTAAACTATTCAACCATAAAATGTTAAATTTTAACATTCCTTTACGTATAATATAAGAAAAAAGAAATCAAAACTGACTGGCGCCGTAACGCTATGTAACGAAGGAGTCTTCTTCCTTCTCAAAAATACTAATCACTTTAAAATTAGTATAACATTTAAATATGAAATTAAACATTTTAACGTTAAGACACTTTTACTTAACAAATATTGTACAGAACCCCAACTACTACTAAACATAAGTTCATAATGTTCGTATGCTCTCCCTGTTCCCGGTATCCTTGGCAGACTGACAGAACTGCAGAGACCTTGGGAAGAGCTTATGGATCGCTGTGATTCACCAGCCGCTGAGGTTTGATTGTTGTTTACGCACCTCTTTCGTGAAAAGTGGACTACGCTGAAATTAGCTTTACGAGCATTGATCGTGCAATTAAGAAACAGACATTTATATATCACTAAAATAATCATATCCTCAAAAATATAAACATAAGAACTATATTTGTTTACTTATTTACAATTTTAAGCACGGCCCGACGTTTTGTGAACTTTAAGTAGTCCGTCACGGGGGATAGCGTTTTAAACCGTTTTACAAATTTGGACAGCTCGCGTAAACTATAGACAGTATTTTAATAATTCGAAAGACTTATTTTTGGTATTAAACTCGAAATTAATTTGAATAGAGGCACGGGCGGAACTCGAACCCGCAATCACAGCGTTCCGTGATTTGGCTTTACTAATTATCTACCGTTTTTCAACTCATGGATTGCCTCAAGTTTTCCTTAGCTTTTCTCTGGTAAGTATTAGTTTACTGGTAAAATAGTAAAATGTAGTATATACATAGCCAAAAATGGTACAATTTAGCCACTTCTGGATACTTAGATCAAGAAGAAGAACGTACCCACTGCGTTCTCTGTAAACTTGGAAGTCTTGACATAACAATATCGATTGGAAATGTTATAATAACGCCCCTTTACATTCAAGGGTAAATAAACTTCGCTATCGCACATCTTAATTGTCCTTTTATTGACGTAATTTCCAATTTGACGACCTTCAACTATGTAACCCTCGATCTAGGTCTGAATAGGGCTGGCACACATTATTTCAATCAACTGTTTCATACTGTTCAGCTAATATAATAGCGTGTTTGTTTGTTTTTACAATCAATTGCAGATTTCAATACTAAGGTTAGTGCAATAATTAGAAAACGAACAAACAGAGAATTACCCTACAGGGGGGCAGAAAAAAAAAAAACTATATGTATTAAAAAAATAAACATATAATTACCAATAAAGCAAACTTAAAATTACTTAAGCATTGTCTGTTTTTTGTACACATTAAAATAAAAATACTTTAAAACACGAAATATACACGCCCGTGTAGCTTCTTTTAAAACATTGGACGCAAAATGTATTAATTAACTGATACATTTCGCGTTTTAAACCGTAAAAAGGTGTTTTATTTAAATGCTTATTAATTGTTGATCAGCGCCGTCCCAACGAAACTTATGTTTTTCTAGGATTCAGAACCTTCTTAACATAATGGAAGTAAGCAAGTAGCACCGAAGCGGTAATATTATAGAAGGACTTGGAAAATAATATTTAACAAACGGGATGCCAACCTACAATCCACATAGTTTGTTAATGCATAATGTTATATTTGAACCGGACAGGAACATTTTTAGTGTTCGCTTTTGACAGCCCTATTTACACCCTCGCTACAAATAATAACAAAGTAACAAATTGCAACCCCACCCCAGCGGGCGCTGATGGATTTTATGCCTTTATTTGACTTACAAGTACTACTCAAGATCTATATCTTCGTTATGACTGTAATTCCAAGAGATTGGTGGTTCTGTTCCTATGAATTACGCATTTACGATAACTAGGGCAGTGAAAATATGAAAGGAAAATTTATAATTATACACGTGTAGTTTTATCTGTGGCTAATGCTGAGACAAGAGGTTTTCCGCTTATTAATAAATAACGGTACCTTTTTTTATTTATTTTTTATGACGGCTAGGACAGCCAAGCATAAAAATCACTTGATAAAGCTAGATGCACTGTCGACTTATTTGCCTTTGAATATTCGTTAAACCACAGACTTAATTGTCTTCAGTCTGTGAATTAACGAAATGAAATATTCAATTATAAGTACGGTGGTTTGTTTCGGAATTGCGGTATATAAAATAACAAGCTGTGCCCAATACTTCGTCCGCGTAGGATAATTATTTTGGGCATCAAATGCCCCCCCCCCTTTTTTAAAATTACCCCCCCCCCCCCCCCCCCTTGAAAAAATTTTTTGGGGTTTTTGGAAACTTTTTTGGGGGGTTTGGGGGGGGAACTTTAAAAAAAAAAATTTTCCCCGGGTTTTTACATAATCCAACTAGTTCTTCGACTTTATTAGTCCATGAATGTTGAGCATTACCTAAACATAATTTTTAAACTTGGTACCAGTAGTTCCTGAGATTGGCGCGTCAAACTTACAAACTTTTCAGCTTTATAGAACTAGTATACATTGTCTACACGAGGACGCCGACATACTTTTCATTCATATAGTTTTTAATACGTTTCCGATCATGTCACGATCGTAAATATAGGTCAGGTAACATTCGTCATCTGCCAACGGTGGCACTAGATATCGTCGCTTCCTAGAATCCGTGTGTCTGTGGCCAACGGCCTTGCAGAACTTGGCGGTTATGCAAACGAATAATCAATTATGATTTTACGAGATGTTACGATGAGTACTAGAGAATTAGGCAACACTTATTTGAAGATTTTATTTAAGCACATAGTCCTCTTCCTCATTTACTTGGTAGGACGTAATTAGTGTATAAATCTGAGATGGATTATAGTCGTCCGTGAACGATTTTATACTATATGGTTTTTTATAACATTTTACAGATAATACAATATAATTTGGATTAGTAGAAAAAAGTATTGTAATTATTAAATTTCATACAAATGAACAAGTATGATTAAAATGCCAATTTTATACTATAACCGAAATTATTAAAGTACGCACAGTACATTTTTATTTAAGCGTTTATTACATGCAATTGTGTTAGCTTGCATCATTTAAAGATATCATTGTCATAGCTAATATCTACTGCACAGTTTATTATAAGAATTACTTATTCCGAAAATTAATCAAATTAATACTCGAGACTCGTTACATTTAAGAAAATTACAAAATATAACAGAATTAATTTATTGTTATAACAATTTCTATGTGTAGTTGTTTCATTGACATCTATCGCCCAATAGTAAAACTAATATTTATGTTTCTCTATTCATAATTAGTGCCATCTTTTGTTTCATTATCAAATTTTATAGTGGAATATTATATTGAAAATTTAACACATTCTTTAGTATTGACAATTAGTACTTATTTATTTCCTTTGAAACATTAATGTATTATATAATATAAGCACTTATTTTTAAATGTTTTTACAGACTATACAGCCAGTTTAAGCCACAATTGATAGACTTGACATCTGTACTCTGTTTCAACTTCACGTTGACAGTTGACGTCCACATCCGCCCCACGAAGTAGAAAGAGGTTCTTTTTCACGCGTACGCCATTGTTGGCGTATGGTGGTTTATATTATAGAAAGGAAATCAAAAACCATCCAATATGGTGAGTATAGAAAACATTTCTTGTGAAGAGAAAAGTGCAACGGAATATTCACGCTAATTCTCTGCGTATATATTTATCAGCATTTCGCGTTTAAAGAAGTTTAAAACTTAGTTTTTTCACGTCGGTCCCCTTTGTATTCGGATGACGTTTTCAAAGTGTTTCAGTGATAGTGTTGTGAAAAAGGGGAAAACGTGTATATTCTTCCCGTAATAATAATTAAAATCGAGTTTTAATTATGAGGAAAAGTGCGTGTGTTCAATAGAACTATGAAATGTCATGAAATAGTTGAGTTCAAGATGTTAAGCGGTTTCTTGTTTTGTGCAGGTGAATTTCACAGTAGACGAAATCCGTGGGATGATGGACAAGAAGCGGAATATCCGCAACATGTCCGTAATAGCCCACGTAGACCACGGCAAATCTACTTTGACAGACTCATTGGTATCAAAAGCCGGTATTATCGCTGGTGCCAGGGCCGGTGAGACCAGGTTCACAGACACAAGGAAAGACGAACAGGACAGATGTATTACCATCAAATCCACGTAAGTTGCACTTTTTATGCAATATGGCTGCACTTTCTAACCTAGAAATGTCAACATCTGTTTATATCGTAAGAGGCTATTTGAGCCCTCCACGAGGAGATTTAACACTTATTATTGCACAACTATTACAATTTAGCTTTAATAATTCTATATGATGAATGTTCTTACCATTAAAAATCCGAAATTCATTGACGATTCTTCAGAACGGCCATCTGAGTTTTTAGTTTTCTACTTAATAGTCAATTGTTTTAAGCCTTGTGTTAACTAAAAACCTTTTTTAGCGCGATATCTATGTTCTTCGAGTTAGAAGAGAAAGATTTGGTATTCATTACAAACCCAGACCAACGTGAAAAGAATGAGAAGGGTTTCTTGATCAACTTGATTGACTCTCCTGGGCACGTTGACTTCTCTTCGGAGGTGACAGCTGCTCTCCGTGTCACTGACGGTGCCTTGGTTGTAGTAGACTGTGTTTCTGGTAAGTACTACTGTATTAAGCTTTTTTAATATCCAAAATATTTAGTTGTTTATTCATTCAAATATATTATGTAGTTGTGTTATCAAATTCTATAAAACATCCTTGAGAAAAGATAAGTAATCAACATGAGAACTGCAATTTGTGAAGACTTTAATTAAATAACTTTTATCCACACTCATATCACTTACTAGCAGTGCCTGTAATTTTGGCGCATGGAATAATTATTATGGGGATCAACATTAATTTTAAAAATTACAGGAGGAGAAAATTACATTGTTCTTAGAGTTGATCTTCAAAAATTACCATGTACCTATGTGACTCATGTTTATTTGATTATTTGAAAGGTATTGTTCTATGAACTTGTTTCCACAGTGCAAGCAAGGGAAGCCCTCACTTTTTAGATTTATAATATAGATATTACTTTAGATCATAAAATTACTCCAGACAGACAAAGTTTATAGTAGCACAATATACAAAGTAGTTATATTGCCAACATCAATTTAGGTCCAACTATGGAAACAGTTGCTGGTAGCCAGCTGACCATGTTGAACGGGTATTTAAATTCTATATCATTTTATAGGTGTGTGTGTACAAACTGAAACTGTGCTGCGTCAAGCCATTGCTGAACGTATTAAGCCAATCCTGTTCATGAACAAGATGGACCGTGCCTTGCTTGAGCTGCAATTGGAAGCAGAAGAGCTGTACCAAACTTTCCAGCGTATTGTGGAGAACGTTAACGTTATTATCGCCACTTACAACGATGATGGCGGCCCTATGGGTAAGTCTGTTTGCAGTATTTACAGCCACTTTACACTTGTACAAGCACTAGTAAAACACACATTTCAATAAAATTATCAAAATCTTCTTGTGAACTGTGATTTTCTAGCTGACTATGGTCAGTGGAAAATTGCTTGTACCAACCAAAGGTAAAAGCAATTACAAGCAATTTTCCCAAAGCCAGTAAGGACTGGCACAGCCTTACTGGTGGCATCAAAGCTCATTTATTAATTTGCGTACTTTGATGGTTTCATTCATAACACATTTTTTAAACAACTAAAAACTGACATATTAATATATCTGCAATGTTTTAGTTTGAATATGGTCTTATAAAAAAACCAAAGCTATAGCTAAGCCTTGAAAAGAAACTTTATATTGATTGCTATGGAGATGATTGCACAACTTTTAATTAAGTAATAAATTATTATTATATTAATAATAATAACCTTTGACAACAAATAATAATTAAAAATCGAACAAAAATAATAAAAAAACGACTCTGGGTAGGACTTGAATCGGCATCGTCTGCATTCCGTTCTGTTGCTCTAACGAATTGGGCTACCGAGCCTTGTCGAGTTAAGTTTAAATAAATTAAAAAAAAAACAACTTTTCATCTTTCGATTTTTAATTAACAAATATTGTTTTTTTTTACAATGTTCTTGAACTCATATGAATAACAAATGTTTAAACCTACTGAAACATAACTCAAGATTTTTTATTAACTGTTCATACATTTTATACACTGTTCTGTGATCATGCAACATGCGTTACGAAGAACCAGTTTGGGAGAATGCAAGTCATTGACCTGACATTGAGATTGGACGTTAAATTATCGCTTGGTGACGTCATCGTGCACGCGTGATTCTCACGTGTAGATTATCGAAGTCAATCGGGCGCTACCAAATTCCCAAACTATGTGCAAAATCAATTTATATTGTTTTTAAGAAAAAATATTACATTCATATTTTAATCCTTTATTAGACAGAATGAAGTGCAATAGGCGGCGGCCTGGTTGCCAACAATAGATCTCTTCCAGACAACCTTCAAACAATTTTTATGGGAAATATTATACAATCTCTACGTGTATATTAACAAATGTTGATTAAATGCGCCCAACTTAGCAAAATGCTATATAAAAATATTATGAATCTTTTGCGCAGGTGAGGTCCGTGTAGACCCTAGCAAGGGTTCAGTCGGTTTCGGCTCCGGGCTCCACGGATGGGCCTTCACCCTCAAACAATTCTCCGAAATGTACGCCGACAAATTCAAGATCGACCTCGTCAAGCTCATGAACAGGTAAGATTCCCGAGTTGACAGCGAAGCTTAAAAAAGTATGGACTCGTATGCTAAAAATATACATACATATTGTGTTACAAATCATATGCTTTTATATACAACCCTCATATTTGTCATTTTCTGAACACGTAATTGTTTTTCGCTTGGAGCTGGGATAATAGAAGTAGGTCAAGCGCATACATAACAATCTGTTCTCGTTAAAATTATATTACTGGGGAAATATGAGTAAAAATTTTCACGCTGTGTGGTTTAATGTTGTTTATGTTAAAAATATACGAATTGATAATTGTGGTAAAGGTAGGTCAGTTTCCCAGTTACATTTAAAGTTATCGTTTCCCCGTAATCGAACCCAAAACTTTCATGCTAAATCAAGCTACGCAGACGGTCTGTGCGGTAGTGGTGGTAGAATTTTTTCGAGTCTCCCAGTTGGTATATTTATAAAATATATTTAACTCAAAATTTTATGATTTCTATGAAAAATCTCTTTAAAATTGTAATTTTTTTAAATTAATGTTTAGAAATAAATGTGAATCTAAACAAAGATTCTCAAAACTAAAGCTTGCACCAAGTCTTATATTATGCAACGGAATGCGCCAGACTGCAAAATCAATACCTTGGGTCGTTTGTGGGCTAACTAACATGCAATTTCAATGCTTTCGACATTGTATACGCCTTTACGAACCTTAATCCATCTTCGACTTCGTTAGCAAAATAAAAATAAAGCCTAGGAAAGACTATTAATAGAAGTCTTTTGAAATTGACGTCATTGTTCATTGTTGAGCTTTAATATTTTTAGCTTAAAGGTTGCGTCCGTTGGAAGTTGCGTAGGATGGAACAGGCAGGGGCGTGAAGAAAGACGATAATGTACGAGTTCGCTTCGTCATTATTAAGTTGATACACTAGTCACTACCTATACGTACCTTACCTTTTCCGATTCGAAACTTTGCAATGAACTGCAATATAAACTTGATTATATTGTGTTACATTCTTCTACATATCTTTTAGAAATTTTACCTACGTGGACCACTGGTTGTTCCACTTGAATGAGGCTTTAATCAAATTTGTTAGGCTTTTTCAGTGATGAAACCTTGTCTTAAATGATTTGACCAACTATTTCAAATAATTGTATAATAAGTTATTGAGATATGTTAGAAATAGTAAATATTAAGAGATTTGGAGTAAAGTTTTAAGTACCGTCCCATTGATACTGGGTAAAGACTTCAATGCTATACACCAGCGGCAGACAAGGACGGAAATTAACTCTCGGCCTTGATTGGTAAGCCATCCTAAGTGGATGTTTTGCAACTGGTTTCGAGATACATTCTCAATTAAAAATATAGGCAAATTAAGCTCCTAGTAGAAATAAAGCCATTATGATTTTATTTACTTTTTGGTAGTTTAATTACATTATTTAATCTATTAAATTTACATCCAGATTGTGGGGAGAGAACTTCTTCAACCCCACAACCAAGAAATGGGCTAAGCAAAAGGACAATGAGAACAAGCGCTCCTTCTGTATGTACGTGCTGGACCCCATCTACAAGGTGTTCTCTGCCATCATGAACTTCCGTAAAGAGGAGATTGACAGTCTTCTAGTTAAGATTGGAGTCACCATCAAGCACGAAGACGCAGACAAGGATGGCAAAGCCCTATTAAAGGTTAGTTATTCCTAATAAAGTTACTGATTTGAAAAACCTAGTTAAGTTTTAAAAATTCTACAATAAGATTCATTGAAGTGTAAAGTTAACTTAGCTGCCTTGTATTGTGTATGTATTTAAAAAATGTTAGTAGTCCCAAGTGTTGCCAGTTGTCTTCTAAGTAAACTTCTGGGTGTCAAAGAGGACTTACAACAACTCTTTCTGGAATTGGCCATAAATTTTTGTAGTTTATGACCCCAAAATTGATTGATACAAATGATATTTGTAGCCACAGTAATGAATATTAGCGTTTTTCTATTCCCTTTACAGCACTAACTAACGTGTATTGTTGCCTTAGGTTGTTATGCGTAGTTGGTTGCCAGCTGGAGAGGCCCTACTTCAGATGATTGCCATCCACTTGCCCTCGCCAGTGGTAGCCCAGAAGTACCGTATGGAGATGTTGTACGAAGGACCCCACGATGACGAAGCAGCTATTGGTATCAAGGTATGTTTCGTTGAAGATTGATAATCAAAATTTATGTGACATTGTTGGTATAAAAATATTTAAATTAAATATAAATTTTCACCAGAGCTGCGACCCTGAAGCACCCCTCATGATGTACGTGAGCAAAATGGTGCCTACATCCGACAAGGGACGTTTCTACGCCTTCGGTCGTGTCTTCTCCGGCAAAGTCATTACGGGACAGAAGGCCCGTATCATGGGACCCAACTTCCAACCCGGCAAGAAAGAAGTAAGTATCGCAATCAGATTTTCAATTGATATAACATTTTTGCAACCTAAACTACACATCTAACATGCTGAATTAGAGTTCGGACCATCAACTAAAAATACCAGTCCTGTTTTTGGTAAAAAGCAATTTTCTTAATAAATAAGCGAAATGGGCTGTGGTGCTATTGTTAGTTATTTCACAGTTAAACTGATTTATCAACTTTTTTCACTACATCGAAGTTCTGAAATGTTAATTTTCGCCCTTCTGACTACCGTGCCGTGCCTTAGCCGCGATGTGGGCAATCTTGCGCTCATCGAAGCAATGAAGGCTGCGGCGAAGTTGGAAGCAGATTAAGTCGACTCGCTTTAAACGCTGCATAGGACCTCTATCCTTATGTCCGGGGACCGCTAGCTACGGGCGAGACGAAACAAAAAGAAAACAACACTTAAAAATTTTGCAAAATAATTATAAGTTTCATTTGGCAAATGCTACTTTGTATATTTTGTTCTAAGCCATACTAATAAAAATGAAAATCCTCAGGATCTGTATGAAAAGACAATCCAGCGTACCATCCTCATGATGGGACGTTATGTGGAGGCCATTGAGGATGTGCCCTCTGGTAACATCTGTGGTCTTGTTGGTGTTGACCAGTTCCTTGTCAAGACTGGTACCATCACCACCTTCAAGAATGCTCACAACATGAAGGTAAGTCACTAGAAATCCTTTTTTTTTTATTTCTATAGTCCCAAGTGTTGCCAGTTGTCTACTAAATAAACTTCTGGGTGTCAAAGAGGACTTACAGTAAGTCTTTCTGGAATTGGCCATAAATTTTCGTAGTTTGTGACCCCAAAATTGATTGATACATTTACATATTACAAGCTGTTATAATATCAAATTGTTATTTTCTAATACAATTATTTTGAATTGACATAAATAAGTTTTAAAATTAAATACTTCAGAAGTGTGGTAATCTTTGATACGGTATAAACTCTTAGGAATTTACATCTAAATATTGTGATTTAAAGCTAACTAACTTCCCACAGGTCATGAAATTCAGTGTATCGCCCGTCGTGCGTGTAGCCGTCGAGCCCAAGAACCCGGCCGATCTGCCCAAGTTGGTGGAAGGTCTGAAGCGTCTAGCCAAGTCCGACCCTATGGTGCAGTGCATCAACGAGGAGTCTGGGGAGCACATCGTCGCTGGTGCCGGAGAGTTGCATCTTGAGATCTGTCTTAAGGTAACAGTTTCTGTACCTAGTTTAATGCCACTAAGGCGAAAGTAGTATAGAATTTGTGTTTCTTATTAATAAAACTTCGCAATAAAAATAATTTAAAATGTTTATTACAGGACTTAGAAGAAGACCACGCATGCATTCCAATCAAGAAATCCGACCCCGTGGTGTCGTACCGTGAGACAGTCGGCGAAGAGTCAAACCAGATGTGTCTGTCCAAGTCCCCCAACAAGCACAACAGGCTCTTCATGAAGGCCTGTCCCATGCCCGACGGTCTGCCGGAGGATATTGACGACGTGAGTTTGCACTACATATTCTCAATAGATCCAAGTATTCTTGACAAACAATACCATCGAGATTCTCGAAACCCTGAATTGTGAAAAAATTACATCGACGAAATTAGTTAGTAAGGGAGTTTTCAAAGCAGACTCGATACCAATCATACAAGTTCGCCGTTATATTGTTAATATTGCTTCAAGAATATAATTGCAGGATAATATTCGTATTAGTAAAAATGTTATTATTGACCTAAGTAAAACTAAAAATCTTTTTAATACATCCTTCTGACTACCGTGCCGTGCCTTAGCCGCGATGTGGGCATTATTGCGCTCATCGAGGCAATGAAAGCTGCGGCCAAGTCGGAAGCAGATTAAGTCGACTCGTTCTAAACGCTGCATAGGACCTCTATCCTTATGTCCGGAGACCGCTAGCTACGGGCGATACGATACACAATAGTTGTATTATCTCACAAACATTTTCGATCCTTGGATTATATTTCTAAGGTCAGAATAAAATTTGTAAAAGAGCATTAATGATTACATACATGTAACTTGTGACAAACATTAGACTAACGATTTTATGTCAAGAATGAAGAAAAGTTATTTATCAAATTATTTTAATCACAACGAATTTTTTAATACAAACAAACAGTTGACTAATCTGTCTTATTTATTTAGGGCAAAGTGAACCCACGTGACGACTTCAAGACCCGTGCGCGTTACCTCACTGAGAAGTACGAGTACGACGTGACAGAAGCCCGTAAGATCTGGTGCTTCGGTCCCGAGGGTACCGGTCCCAACATTCTAGTGGACTGCACCAAGGGAGTGCAGTACCTTAACGAAATCAAGGACTCTGTGGTAGCTGGATTCCAATGGGCCGCCAAGGAGGGAGTCATGGCCGAGGAGAACTTGCGTGGAGTACGTTTCAACATCTACGACGTCACCTTGCACACGGACGCCATCCACAGGTAAGGTTTGAATTGTAAGATGTACAGAAAATACTGTCTATAGTTTACGCGAGTAGTACACATTTAAATAAAACACTTTTAAGGTTAAAGTGTTTTATTTAAATATGTACAGAAAAATTAAAATGGTGCCTATATTTTTCTTAAAAATTTACTTTATTACGTTGTGCTCTGCAGAGGGGGTGGTCAAATCATTCCAACCACAAGGAGGTGTCTGTACGCGTGTCTACTGACGGCCTCTCCACGTCTCATGGAGCCAGTGTATCTGTGTGAAATTCAGGTATGTACAACTACAGTTTGACAGAAAAAATAAACTTTCATGCATGCATCCTTTCTCATATTTATGTTTGAATGTTGTATTTTATGAATTGTACATGCACGCCCCCATCCACATGTATCCTATGCGGGCGAGCCCTTGCAAGCTCGTCCGCTTTTCCGACACGTGGTATATTGTCCGTTCATTGTTTTGGCATCGACGCCCAACGCTCTTTGCCTGAATAGCGGAACTAACACTTTATGAATTCCAATCACCCTTATAATTGTTTATCCACAAATTGTGCACGAGTCATTCAGATATTTAATTTGTATTGGTATGGCTTTCATAAGTTATGTTTGAGTTGTTATTGTAAATAATTAAGTATATATAGTTTCATTAATTACGAAATATGTGCGCAGTGTCCCGAGGTAGCCGTGGGCGGTATCTACGGAGTGCTTAACCGTCGTCGTGGTCACGTATTCGAAGAGTCGCAGGTGGCCGGGACACCCATGTTCGTAGTGAAGGCCTACTTGCCTGTAAACGAGTCGTTCGGCTTCACCGCCGACCTCCGCTCCAACACCGGTGGACAGGCCTTCCCTCAGTGTGTCTTCGACCACTGGCAGGTCCTGCCCGGAGACCCGTGCGAGGCTGGCTCCAAGCCTTTCGTCGTTGTTCAGGTATATATTGTATATTTTTTTTACATAAAAGGGGAGAGTAAACCATGAGGTGGGTTCATTTGGTGCTAGGTGAAATACCATAGCCACATAACATCTCAAGGAGAGGAACTCTTCATTCATTTTTTGTTGAGCTTTGGACTTTCCAAAGTCCACACTTAAACCAAACCATGATTAAACACACACACAAATTGTTAGCTGGTACAGCTGTGTGGGTAGTTGTTCGTGGTTTGGATGGAATTTTGATATTCCTACCACCTAATAGACAAAGTCCAACATATTATTCTAGTGAAAATGATATGACCCCTTGATTATTAACCATACGACTTCTAAATTTGAATTTGTAGAAGTCTGTTTGTATAATAGACAGTTTGTAACGTGCTCTTCTCTTACAGGAAACGAGAAAACGGAAAGGACTCAAGGAAGGTCTGCCCGACCTCGCGCAATACCTGGACAAATTGTAAACGCGTAGCAAATACCATATTATATATCAACATTGTACTATATGTAACATTATTCCATCTGACCAGCGCATCTCGTTCATTTGTCAATGAATAAATAGGGCTGACCATTTCGAGCGCCTCTGCTTCGGGTAAAGCGAGTTTTATTTTGTGATATTGTCCAGTAACCAATTCAACACAACCAAGCCGAATGTTACACCAACACCGTTATTATACTGTAATTAATTTTTAAATTATAATTTTTCTATTGTATCGAGTTGTTTCATTAAATGATGATTTGATTGAATCAAAGTACATAGTGGTAAAAAAACATTTGAAAACCTCAATTTATTTTATTTAGGGACTTGTACCAGGTTCAGTGGTGAGTGTCTGTTTTTTGTTCAGTTACATTTTGTTGAATGCCGGATCAATAAAGTTATGTCCTTGTTTCAGATTCTTGGAGAATGTACCTGTAAAATGTTAAGTAAGTATATACATGTTACATTCCATTCTTTTTTGCATTTGTTTTTTGTTCTTATGATGAACATACCACAGACCTGTTCTGACACTATGAGGACAAAACTTATATTTTACCTGAACATTACTAATATTTATTTAATTATAAGTTTGTTGTGCAAATGTTTTAATGGTTTTTTTTTCTACAGGTAAATGAACTGGCGTCCAGGGAGTCCTCGTGAGCGTAAGTATAGTTTAATAACACTAATTATCATTACAAGTAGAGCTAATACAATATAATCAATAATTTGTTTATGATGACAACTCTATGCCAGATATACGTGAAGGTTACATAAGCTCAACAGGCCTGATTTTTTTTTAATAAATTATTAATTAATAGATCTAGATTGCAATAAACTATAAAACTACAAATCTTGTTACAGATTCTACTTGTCTGTCTGAAGAATTAAAAACCATTATTAGCTACTATAAGGTATGTAAGAACAGTACTTCCTTTCCCCATGTTTTGCCATATTGTACTTGTTTTTTTTGTAGTGAATCTAAAAAATATATTTCCATTACTAGTTTAGCAATATTTGACATAAAATAATCCATTTATTAACAACTAGCTGTGCCAGCTTGTCCGCGAGAATCGTTATTTTGGGCATCCAAATAAGTTTTTACAAACCCCGTCATCTTTATAAACTTAAGCTATTGGGCCCAACGTCGATCGCGTCTCTTCCCGTCGTTCTTGCAGGTTAATATTAAATGACAGACATATAGCGTCGCGGACTTATTTTTAGATCAGAAGGGAAATCATTCTTTCATACACAATTTTTAGATATCTTGAACCGTTTTCGCAGCGTACGCATCCGAAACCTACAGAGATGAAAAATGTTTCTCGTTTTGTTCACATTTCTCGCTGTATCTTCGCTCCTATTAGTCACATCGCAAAGTAACCTTCCTTGATAAATCCTCTAACAAACACAAAAAGAATTTAAAAAGATGAGCGCGTTCAAACAAACAAACTCTTCAGCTTTATATATTAGTATAGATTTAATGATGTTAAATTAATGCCATATGCCAAATGTGATGGTTACATAAGCTCAACAGGACTGAATTGTTTAAAACAATATGTATGTATTGATGTACGAGGCAAATGTTATATTTAATAAATTTATTTGTTTAACAGGTTTCATTCGAGGAAATTGCGTGATTCTTTGGCGTATTGAGAGGGTCTTTATAAATCAAGTGGTAAGTAATTTGAGAAATGACTTTAAATTATTAGATTTTCCTTAATAAAATGATGAATTTATCACAGACCTGTTCTGATTTTTCTTTGAGGAAGCCTTTAATTATATTCTGATTATTATAACACTTATTATTAAAAACTTTTATATTATTTGTGTCATACTTATGGGGATTTTCTTTTTCAGGAGTCATTGATGGTGTCATTGGTGTGAAGGCATGCTTAATTTGTAATAAATTTGTTACCTTGAAACAACTTAATAAATAATCCAAATCATTTTTCGTCTATTTGTTGCATCCCTAATACAAATTAATATTAATTAATGTAAATTATCTAAATTTGGTAATCATTGGTAGGACATTGCATTGAATTAAGGCCTATAGTCCCAGAGTAACAGAGATGGCAGGCAGACAATGAGGTCCTAACTGCAATTATTGTAAGATTTGATTTGTGAGATTTTTATAGTCTGAAAATGTTAATCTACATGAGCACAGTGAGCGAAAATTTTTTCGATTCTTACACAAAAGGCCAATCTTATTTTCACCTCGGTTAATTGCGCATTTTTATTTTCCTTAATGTAAATCCTGTTTCTTTTTTTTATTATAATCCCACTGCTTTTAGCAGCCTCAATTTCAAGTAGCTTCTGATGAACAGATAAAAGGACTTGGCACTATCTGTAGTGGCGGGGAGATCAAAATATTTATCTGTATTATTAATAATGTTTCACGTTATTTGGGTTAACAGTTAAGTGTTATTTTTTACGAATTCAACTTAACATTTGTTTTTCTTGCTAAAAGCTTTTAGATATATTTCGTCTAGTCGAGGAGAAAAGGTTCTTGATTATATTCTTATAACTGATAAACGTCAATTGTCATACAATTATCCGACTTGTCAATCTTACATCGCGGTGCATGTGTCAAATAAATCAAGGTCACAGATGTGCGCATGTTTCGATAAAAATTCAATTAAAAGTAATTCCGATTCAGTCTTCGTTGTAATTTCATGTGGAACCGTTTGTTTCGGCCGTTCAGTTCTTTCTTTGGTAAAATGCTACCCGAAGTTGTGTTCGTTTTGGGTGCACCCGGCGCCGGCAAGGGCACTCAGTGCTCACTTATATCAAAAGAATTCGGTTTTGTGCACCTCTCTGCTGGCGATCTTCTCCGGGAGGAACGCCAGCGGCCCGGCTCCGAGTACGGTGAAATGATAGAGGAAAAGATACGGAACGGATTAATCGTGCCCGTCGAGGTTACCTGCTCACTAATACACAAAGCAATGGAGAAATCCGGTAAAGCGCGCTTCCTAATCGACGGATTCCCACGCAATAAGGACAATTTGGACGGCTGGGAACGTGTCATGTCAGATAAAACGAAGCTCCTATTCGTATTGTTCTTCGAGTGTTCGCGCGATTTGTGCACGCAAAGGTGCTTGGGACGTGGCGCAGCCGGCAGCGGGCGTTCAGACGATAACCTCGACAGCCTTCAGAAGAGATTTAACACATACTTAAACGATACAATGCCAATTATTAATCACTACGACGAACATGGCCTAGTGCGGCGAGTCAACGCTGAGGTGGCGCCACAAGAAGTGTTCGAAGATGTCAAAAAATGTTTCACGGCGTTAGGAATCCAAAGTCTAGATAAGTAATATCGTTTGTAAGTAGGTCAATCAATGTGTGTGCGGCATTGCATTAATGACAACAGAGTATTAGTTGAATTTATTCCTCCAAAGAAATAGGTTTAAATGTTGGTAGCTTAAATGTATACTTTCAAATATTAGTCTCAATGTCACACTTTGTATGCATAAGTTAAATAGTTGCTGAAAGTAAAATATCATGTGAGGATGCATTTATCTAGTTGTCCCTGCATCGTAGGTCATTTTAAATTGCTGTCTATGTCTATTCATTTGCGTGCCATAATGGGCATTATTTCCAAGGTAATCTGTGAGTCACTGTTACAAGATAACTTGAATGTGATTTAAATCAAATACCATTATCGTAAAATGATTCTAGAGTTTTTAAAAGCAAACTTTTGTTTTGATATATTTATTTATATCATTTTGATTGTACTGTGTATGATTTTTCCTATTTATATTATGTATAATATGTAAATAAAGTCTTAAGCAACATATCTTATTTGTTCTGCTGAGTAATGGCGATAAATAAAAAGATAATCTTAAGCATAAACATTTATTAGCAGAATAATAATACAGTCTTATACACACTTAGATACAAGTTTTTATATATTTTTTTATCTAATGGACATAATAAACTTATCACATTTCTTTTGTGTAAAATACTGTTTGGTATTTAATGAAAAAAAAAATACCCTGAAAATAAAAGGAATCTTGTCGCCCCAACATTTTAGAAGTTGCTCTGCTTATTGTCTTTGTGGGCTTTCTCTCTAATGGCCTGCTTTGGAAAACCAAGCACTAAAACCCAGGATCTATCAGGTTTATTGCAATACCAATTAAAGTCTAACCATACCAGTACATAATTTTGACAATAATTCAATAATTACCTAATACAATATGCATATAGTTACAGAAGTAATATCACAAATATTGTGTCTCATTTCTTCATTATAGCAACTAAATTCAAAATAAGTTCACATTGACATTACAATATTAAAGGAAAAGTTCAATAACTTATCACAATAACATTCAATTCAATATCATTAAATTTAATGGTATTACAAGTTAATTGAATATTTGGTGCTATATTAAACTCTAAATCAGATCATTCTTACATTAAACAAATCAATTTATACAAAAAATGATATTTAGTAATTCCACAAACTTTTTTTTTTCTTCATTAAGCGAGAAGCTGCTCTTGAATATAAATAAAATAAATAGTGGTAATTTTTTTTTCTAATACTTAGCTTTTAAATATAATGTATTACAATTACTTCTTTATATTAAATAGATAAACTGAAAAATAATGCCATTAACAGTTATGTATAGGGTTCAGGGTTCACAGTAGTTTTCAATAGTGTTTGAAATGTTTTTTTAATCATTATCTGCGATATATATTTAACGGCAAATTTAAATAAGCACATTACAATTAACTAAGCCGGCGAAGAATTTTCATTCATTATAAGAAACCTACCTGCAATGCATACTATAAATGTAATTTTTGTGATAAAGACAACTTAAACTTGATAATGAAAACAAAATACTGCAAGACAGTTTAATAAAACTTATACAATGGCAGTGTTAAAAAGAACAATATGCAAGGTGAAGGTATGAGATGATGGATAATAATAATTAACTAACAACTAGCAGCCCCCCCCCCCCATAGTAATATAAATAAATCCTTGGTATAAGGTCAAACACAAGTGGAATGCTTTTGGCCTTTGTAAATAACGATATTCATCTAAATAAAACATTTATGTATTTATCAACTTGCCCTTGCTGTATGCGTTTGGCATATGTAAATGAAGGTAATTATTGGGTGGGTAGAAAAATCATATATTGTTTTTGATGCAACTTAAATTCAAGGAATATCCCAAATGATTTAATAAGTTACAACACTTAAGTTGAACAATTGTGTTTACTTACCTTATAGAACAATAGCTGTTTGAATTCTGTTTGGTCGAGGAAAGCTAAACACCTGATAATGCCAACCAATTGTGATGGCCAAATGTCGAGAACAGTTTCTTAATTACGACGGTCGAACAGGTCGAAAACCCAAGTAAAGTTTAAAAATGTCTGATTAAACATTACATTAACAATGCACGAACTGAGTAGCGATGCTCTTTATTTTTTCCGTAAATTACTTACTTCATACTACCAAAGATTTTTCGACATCTGTGTTAGTTTAGTCTACTCTACGCATGAGATTAAATCTCCTCAATAAAAACAGGCACTTCTTTAGTAACGTTTTTACGTAAAAAAAATCGCATGCAGCGGGAAAAGCCAGAAAAACTTCTACCGCCGTGGTTTGCAATTTAATTAAGCTGCCAACACAAGATCAGCTCCAACCTAGCTGCCACTTTGATGCCATACAGATAGAAGAGATAGAAAGAACAGAAAAGTAATAATAAGTCTAAAGATTATTAAGTTACAAAGGTTCAAACAGTCAAGTTATATTTAACCAAAATATTTAACGGTTTAAAACGCAAAAAGTAGTAGTTAACTTAGTTAAAATAAATTGTAAATATGTGAACTGAAGTTTTACGCGATTTAAACCGTCAAGTGTTTCTTTTAAATTTGCTAACTTAGTAATGTCACAGTTGCGTCTACACTTAGATAATCGTTAAGAAATTGTGACGGTTTAAGGAAATGAGAGAGCCTTTAGTAAAGCAAAAGGGAACAAACTGTACGTGTAATTTAAGAAACTGCTATAATAGCCGTAATTAATTTCTAACTTCGTGTTTCCACTTGTTTTTTACAGCGTTTGTAGAGCACAAAAACAACATTGAGTGGAATGAATTTTTATGGAATGGCTAATTATGGCATTAATAATGTATAACCGAAGGGCATTCACGCGAAGACGTCATTGCAGTTGAATGGCATTTAGTCCTCAGTTTTATAAATGCAGTGAATGCAAGAATATTGTTTTTATTAATCAATAGCGGAATTTTTCAGTTACAGAATAAGTATTAAAATATATTGTCTATAATTTACGCGAGTTGAGCACATTAAAAAAACTTAACGGTTTAAAACGCAAAATGTAAAAGTCAAATTATTCTATTACGCAACAGACGGCGCTAGCGTAGCAGTTTCATTTCATCCTTTGTCATTAAGGACGACCTCCATCTTTAGCCGCTCCGTGACCACAGATGCTGCAAAGTATCCGAAAAGTCGAACCATAGTCAAAATAATCTGTAAATAAGTTAACTAAAACATTTCGCGTTTGAAACCGTTACGTGTTTTAAATATGCCAAGTAAAAAAAGTAAAGGAAGGTTGTTTCTTTTCTTAAATGTATCAAAATTTGAGTTTTAAAATTATAACTTTAAAACTCAAATTTACTATACTAACCATTTAGTACCTGAAAAGTCTGAATTTTAATTTTCAGTACTCATTTGTACGATACGACGCCTCATGTTAACAAACGAGTATTCATATATAAAAGTACATTTAACAACCGAAGATTCCATAAATACATCTTGGTAAAATAAATTCAAGCGGGTGACCCTTGCGTATCAGCTGTTGCCTCCGATGGCCCAGGCGTAGCCGTGTCCGTCTGCGCATACGAAAGGAATACTTCCTCGAGGGTCGTCTCCGTGACCGAATAGTCCTCGACCAGCGGGAACTGGTCTTTGAGTTTCTCCAGAGCTGTGAACAGCTCGCTGTATGCTATCTCGTCGTTTATGTGGTATTGGAGCATTGTCTGCAAACAAAAATTCAATAGCTGGAGATATATAATCTTCACCAGGTGCAGATGAGGGTGGCGTTGAGCGAGATAGGAGGGATGGATGTGGGGGGGGGGTTAATCATTAGATTAAGGAATTGATAGATAGTCTTATGAATAACTAGCTGAGTCAGCGAATTCGTCCGCGTATAAGTTACTTTGAAAATCAAAATTTTGTTTTCGCAAACCTCGCCTCATTTATAGATTTTAGCTGTCGCAACCACGACGTCTGTCCCGTCTCCCGTTATAAAATTTTATATAATATTTATAAAGCTATCATGCGAGAATATTTATTTACGTGCGAGCATAAAACTAAACTAATACAGAAATGATTCCAGACTATTAATTATACCATCTTTCTATAAATATCTGAGCAAATAATAAATCAAATTTAAAAATCTATTAACATTGAAAATGTACTACAGACACTAGAACCGGCATCTGCGTTTCGCGTTGCTGCTCTAACGTCCTACACGTACGGATTTTATCTACCCATACCCATTCAACTCTTGCGCAATTTTATATTAAAATGGCATAATCTGCTACGTGAAGAATAAGAAGAAGAACGTCACATACCTTGTGCTCATCCTTCAGAGTGCAGTCAAATCTCTCCTGAAGAGCCGCTTTCAGGCGACGGAGGTGGGACTTGGAACCGTCCGTTTCTGATGACAAAAAACAATGAGCACCATAATAATGTTTAAATAATTTTTTTCTGAAACAAGTTGGACTTTGTCTGGAAATCTGAACTTTTTTTATAGCGAGTGATGCTCTATGGTATTAATAAAATTTTCTTTATAGAAACTCAAGGAATTGAACATTTTTACCGTTACAGACAGTGACTACTCTAATAAGTGAATACTGTTGGAGTTTATATATATTGATATTGGCTGGCAACACTTGAGTTAGATTTTTAATATGTTCTATTCTATGTTTGTTTGAATTCCCAGGATATTGTTTTCTGACAAAAAACAATGACTTCTCTTCTCGACACGCCGGACGAAACACGTAGGGCTTTTTGTACGTTTATTATACAAAATTATATTAACAGTGCAAATATATATATGTGGAAGTTTGAAGTGGGCGTATTTTCATAAATATATATATACCTATATCCCTCCACCGCCTTCCCCGAGCCGAAGCTTCCACGCGGAACTAATATTGCAACAAATACCAATATAACATTTTTCTTTTTTATAGAGAGTTTATCATTTATATCAGAATCTGCACTGTATTTTTTTTAATAAAACTTAAATGGTTTAATACGCGAAATATATTAATTAATTTTTTGACAATTAATTACTTTTATGTGTGTCTACTATATGTGGTATTTGGAGATTTTTTTTACAAAATTTCTCAACAGATGGTGCTAGGGTAGCATTTTCGACTCTGCCATTAAAGCGTAGTTAATTCAGTTAACTAATATACTTCGCGTTTTAAACCGCTAAATTGTTATTGAAAGTGCAAATATCCCACATAACATTTCAGTAGAATGCGCTGTTGTCCTATTTTGGCTTTACATGTTAGTTATACTGACCATCTGTCGATGCTGGGGTCAACTTCAAGGTCAGCGCGTGTCCAGCAGCGTGGTTCGCCCGCAGTACAGCTGCTTCGCCGAGGGCGCGAATTTCTCCAGCGGACATTATAGCTATGCGGTCACAGAGAGCTTCCATCTCGTCCATGCTGGAACATGAGATGCAATTGTGTTAAAAGAAGAAGAATTTTCGAGAGGCTCAATCTGTTAGAGCAGCACGCAACGCTGTGGAGGGCGGCTTAAGTCCGCCCGTGTCTTATTTGTTTTTTTTTTCTAACATTCAATTCAATTGTATAGACTATAGATTATCGATTTTGAGGAGACATTCTGAGTTGTCAATAAAGAATCCCGGAATACTTTTTGTCCATATTTTTCCAGACTTCTGTGCTCTTCCTAACCATTGATGAAAAAATATTGTCTGGAATTCAAACCAGGAATATCACGTTCTTACGCTAGGATTCGTGGTTACTTGCACAAACGTTTTGATTTAGTTAAATAGAAGTGATTTCAGAAATATTTAATGAAATTAAGGTTAATAAAGTACCTTAAAAAGCTCGCAAGTTTTGGAGTGCCCACATGTTGGGTGGATTTTGCCTTTTAATAATCTTTTTACCTGTGAGAAGTGATGATCAGCGATCTGCAGCAAGCCGTAGCCCTCCGTAGTGCAGCCCACACGCGCCGTCTAGCAGCAACATCGACGCCAGCTGTCGGCTCGTCGAGCAGCGTGACAGCAGCGTTGCCGCAGAGCGACGCCGCAGTCGACAAACGGCGTGCACACCCGCCCGAATACCCGCTCACCGGGAGATCGGCGTATTTCGAAAGACCTGTTAATTTTTTAATTTTAAAAGAGAGAGACAAGCGAAGCAACATCATAACCTTCAATTTAGATGTCCAGTCGACCTTTTCTTCTTCATATTAAGGACAAAATTGAGTTTCTTTAATTATGTTATTACGTTTAATTATTGAAATTTATTTGATAAAAATTGTACTCCTATTTAACAGAAATAAAAGAGCTATATAAAAAACAACAGTGTAAAAAAGAATAAAAAACGCTTGATTTAAATAAAAGAAAAAATTTAGAAATGGATCAAATGGAACTGAATCAATTTCATAAAGTCACCTTTGTCACCACCTACCACTACATGTATTTGACATAACACGAACACCACTAGAGAAAATAAAACAAAAAAAAATTCTTTTAGCAGTTCTTACCGACAGTTTCGATCCAGGAATCCACTTCATGGTGGATATGCTCCTCATCACGCCCTTGAAGTGTCAGCAACAGCGTCAAATTGTCTCGCCCAGTTAGAAACGCGTCCAGGCCGAAGAATTGGGGACAGTAGCCCAATGAACGAAGGTACTAAAAAATATTCGAAGCAATACAACATGTGGCACTTGATGGCGGTTTAAAAAATTAAAAATCATTTATAAATTGAAAAACATCACGACACGGGCAGGACTTGAACCGGCATTCAAAGCGTTCTGTGCTGTTGCTCTAACCGATTAGCCTATCCTGTCCTATCCTTGCGCAATAAGATTCAATGTATTATTAATATGCTTTACAGCTTTAAAAAATCGTTGAAGATGAAATTATGAAGTGTAACGTATTTTTTTTTTTAATTTATAATCGGTCATGTAAAAAAAAATATTAAAGTTTTCAAAGGATAACATCTAAACGCAATATTTAGAATTCAGTTCTACCTCTGTCCGCGACTTCATCATGTGGTATCCGTTGCCGAAGATGCGCCCCCTGGTGGGGCACTCGGTAGCCGTGAGCATCTTGAAAGTGGTCGACTTGCCCGCGCCGTTCACCCCCAGGAGACCGAAACATTCACCTTAAATACGTTATTAGATGTATAACTTTACCTGCTGCATCGCAGCAAATAACTAAATTTTAAACAAGGACAAATAATAAATAAATTTATGTTCATTAATTTACTATGGTGATGTAGTTTGATATTTATAAATTATTTAGTAAGTATTAAATCTAAATAATTTATTCAGATTATTTACTTAATTTATTTTAGAATAGAAAAAAGTAATTTACGCAGTTCACATTTAAATATAACTTTACGTTTCACGGTTTAAAACGAAATATATATGTTAAACTTATTTTAACAGCAACTTTAGTTGCAGCCAGTTATATTGCGCGTTTTAAACCGTTGAAAGTGTTTTTTTTAAATTTGTACCGCGTAAATTACAGACAATACTTAAATTTATTTACAAACTTCCTGTATTTAAAAAATCAATATTTTCCATTAAATTATCTAGTTATTAGTCTTAAAAATCATTTGAAAGCCAGCAAGTGAATTAACCAATTAAAAAAGAGTAACAAACCTTTCTTGACCGAGAAGCTAACCCCTTTGACTGCGTTGCACGACTTCTTGAAAGGGCGCACATAGTTTTTGTGGACGTCGTCCACTAGCATGGCGTCTTGGATGTCTCTGGCCGCTGTTAAATATAGTCCAAGCGATTAGGTTTTTAGCTAAACGGTAAGTTTTACAGTAAAAACATTTCACTAAACAACAAAAATTATTTACACTTCTTTTCAGGTTGTTACAACTGGGTTATAAGAAAGATTCAACTCCGGCGGTGGTCCAAGTGCAGAACGGTTTTATTATTGGCTATAAAAATATCGCCTCTGTAGCGAAATGGTTAAACGTTTAGTTCAAATTCCGCGGAGACCATAGATTGTTTCGGTCGAGTAGGGCACAGTCTTGTGCTTGTAAAAACGGACACAAAACGTGTTTGTCCCATGGACCCCGTGCGGGGATACGGGCTTTTACGTAAGTTAATTTAATTAGCGTGCTAAAAAACTTTTTGTTAATTTTTTACTTACGTAAATCGATAGCCTTGTTGACATACAACCTCTCCGCCCGCACGATCTCGTCGATATCGTCGCGACTCTTGGGCGTGTAGGTGGGGTTGAGGAGACGGTCGCAGAGGCACATGAAGTACCCTTCCTCCAGCGCTATGACGATGGCCTGAAACGGAGAGGTTCAGGGATACAGCTAATAAAGACGCTAAAAGCTCAATGCTTAAACAATGTTCTTTTGAAAACAAATTTGACGGGCACGTTGGTGTAATAGTAACAATTTATGGCTAATAATCAATGGGTCGTTGATTCGATCCCCGTCGGGTCCAGAATTTTCCTTCAATCTATATTTTTCTGAAACATGATTAAACGTAACGGCAATATCTAGTTTTCCAAACGAAGTGCGTGCCTCGAACGAAGTTTCGATAACCCTACCACTGAATTATATACTCGTATTAAGATTACTGTAACGTTTTTAACTCACCATGTAAACGACAATTTGAACGAAGAGAATAATTAAGAACATCGCCGGCGCATACTCGTCGAAGTCGAAATAGCTTCGCGGGTTTGTGTTTAACTCTGTAAAAATATTAACATCTATAAAAAAACTATTTGTTTTTAATAACCGACGTATACAATTCTTATATTAACAATTCAATTTGTTTTAACGAATTGAATTGTTAATGGCTAAAGCAATATTAATACAATTTCACTCAGTGCATTCTATGTAGTTTACGCGATTAGTACAGATTTAAATAAAACACTTTTTAGTTTTTACAGATTAAAACCAGTAACGCTTTTAATACGTTCCAGTAGCTGTGGCCACGGGGGGGGGAAATAAGGAGTTAATGAAAAAATCATCAATAAAAATAGTTTAACTTTAAAAAATGTATATCGAATTAGCGATGTTGCCATTAATAACTTTGGACCGTTTAACAAAAACACTAGCAAACATAAACTGATATGAGCACTAGACTTGATTTGGTAAGAATCGCATTATGTAAGACCCCCCCTTTAAAGTCCATATCGTAAACGTGTTTACATTTTACAATTTGTATTACCTACCCTCATATTTTTTATTTAAAACTCAAAGTTACGTATATTCTAATAAGCTAATGAGAAAATAAAGTGTTTAAACGTAAAAAAAAACCTAGAACATAATCTGATAAGCATCATGGGGACATCAGCATATATTAAAGCCAGAAATTATACGACACGTAACATAAGCTAGCGTGGATTGAAGCTACATGTATACCCTCCTAGTCTCGTGTCCCAGCAGTGGGAATTGTAAAAAGGAGAGAACATTAATACTTACCACAACACTTTTTGACGTCGAAACCAAGAGCTGGGATAATAAGATTAGGACACTTGTCCTTATTGAGGTCGCAGAAAGCGTTTATTCGTGCGACGTTGCCGGCTCGTATCACCGCCATAGAGAACGTGTGGGACGGTACAATGTAACCGGTAGCCGTCAGCAAATAGTGGACATAGGACGGCAGCTCATCCTTTATCAACTCCGCGCCGGCTTGCATTGTTGGTGTTAGAAAACCTGGCGAAATAGGTGGGCCCAAGCTATATAATAAGTAAGTCGTAAGTAAGCTGTCGACATTTTTTTATAATTGGAAAGGATCAAGCAAGTTTTGAGGATGGAAGTATAAATCTATTTGAAGATGAGCCGTCTACCTATTCTTGCATTGGGCGTTCCGAAACCCCGATAAGATGAACAAGAAATATCTTTTGACCTCTTCTATCATAGTGATAATTTTATCTTATACTAGTTGAAGTAGTATTTACTTTGATGTAAGGGACTCATTCGCTGCTATCAAGGATCCTTAGAGGGTCATTGTTAAGAATGGGTTAAAGAATATATTACCGGTTGTAAACCGTTTAAAGTTATTTAAATGTTAAGTTACCGAATACGAAAATGATGGCGATCAGAATGCCGCTAGCTGCGCGCTCCGCGAAGAAGAAACTCACGAAGAACACGAAGCATAGAAACGCCGTCATTCCCAGGATTAAGATCAACGTTAAAATCACTGAAAAGAACATTAAAAGGTATTACTCAATCTTGTGTAAGGCTTTCACGGCCATCGTTCAGCATATCATTGTCTTTCGGGCTGTTCGGCCGACGTGAGCGTGACGAGGTTCTCGACGTTTCGCCATCACGAGCGGACGGCATCATCGGGAGATGTTGTTAGCATCTGTCGAATCGAGGAGCTGACAACATCTCCTTCTGAAGGTATTATTCAAAATATTCGGTTACGGCCACAAGTGAACGGTAGATGTATATAATCTTTGCCTCAATTGCAAAATACGCATACAATAAGAGTCAAAAGTCGATAAGTGTAGCGCATCTCTGTGGGATAGCCAGATATAACCAAAATAAATATCTCTTCGTACAGATTAAAAGATTATAAGATGATTTAAATAGTCCAAAACGAATTAACACAGCAAAAGAGAGTTATTTGACGTTTCCGCCCTTATAAGCGTTAAACGAACTATTCGACGTGTTATATCGTGTTTGATAGTTTGAGACATATATATTTTTTAATTTAGTGGTCTGGCAGAAATGAAGTTTACCATTTTTCTTTGTAACCATTAGTGACCAAACCTAATCAACTAACCAAGAAATCCGGGCTGATTAAGTGTATTGTCCTTTTCGAGAGTGATGCAGGCGACAATAGTTGGTATCAGCAAAGTGAGAATGTATAGGAAGATTTGGAACACCAGTGTGGACAGCCAGTAGACCACGGACGGACACCCGGACATTATGTGCAAGTGTCTGGTGCTCGTCAATCGCTCTTTGCACGCGAGCGTCACGCTGTTCATTTGAGTGGCTGCTATGACTGTGAAAGTATATTTATTTATTTTACTCAGACTTAAATAAAACACTTTAAATGTTATGTTACTTAATTCAACTATGAACCAAAGTTACGGACGCTTAAAGCTGAGATGGACCACAGACAGCAAATTAACACTCAAATTAATAAAATCTATTTCACCTTTAATACATTATTATCAATTCTTTGTGGTCTTTAATTACCTATACTTATAGCGGCTCGCTATCTCTTCATGATTTGCCCGAGTCACCCCTACTCGTAATGAGTCTGTGCATCCCTTCTTCAGAGGAACCATAGGAAACGTAGTGTCTTGCGTTTCGTTATTGGGGTTAACTAGTTAGGTGCTTACAGAAACGTCTCACGCCATTAAAATATATTTCGCGTTTTTAAACTGTTAAAAATTGTGTTTCAGCCCCATCTAGCGTTAAGCGGAGAGAACATCGCTATGATCTATAAGTAATCTTCTGGCTGATGGGGTACAGTGGTTACTGAAGCCAGAAGCTAGAAGCCGCCATAATACTTGAAGCTACTGCCGCATAAAGTCAATGTATTAATTACATCGTATGCGTTCATGCGGTAAAATTAAAAAAAAAAAAACATTCATAAAAAACGATGTGTTTTGAATGCTAGAAGATGTCGCTAAACCGCGTGGTAAGATTTCAGTATTAAATATTAGCAATTAATTGAACTAATTTTCTCTCTAACAGCACTAATATAATCTATACTAATATATAAAGCTGTAGAGTTTGTTTGTTTGAACGCACTAATCTCAGGAACTCCGGGCTTGAATTGAAAAAAATATTTTTGTGATGATTAGATCATTTTTCGAGGAAGGCTATAAAACAACGCGCTGTGACTAATAGAAGCATAGCGAGAAATGTGAACAAAACGGGGGAAATTTTTCATCTCTCTGGGTTTTAGGGGCGTACGCTGCGAAAACGGTTCAAGACACCCAAAAAGAATGATTCCTCTTTAAATGGTCTATAACAAAGCCCGTAACGCTATATGTATAACTTGCAAGAGCGACGGAAGGGACGCGGCCGTGGTTAACAGCGATAATATATAAAGATGTGGAGAAGATTTGTAAAAATAAATTTAGATGTCCAAAATAACTATTCTACGCGGATGAAGTCGCTGACACAGCTAACATACATTAAGACTCAATTCAACTACCTATTGTCTAAATTAAGGGCGTAGAACAAGTGGCTACGCGTGGCTAGAAACTTGCGGCCGCTTTGCACATCCAAGTTGTGGTCTCCAAATAAAAATACTCACTAAACACAATGAGCGACGCCCATAAAAATGTGTTGCTCGTGTCCTTCGGCTCGACTATCTCTGCCGCTCTCATATTGACACTGTAGACAGGGTAGTTGACGGTGGTGATTGTGGCCCCGTCCCCCCACGGCAGAAGTTTGCTCGCCAGCACGTTGTTCAGTAGATTCATAGCGACTGGCGCTGCGTGATGTACGTGAGTAGTATATAAGATCTGTAATTAAACAAAATGGCGGTAGTTTCCACTCGCTGTACATAATAAGAGAAAGAAAAAAAAAAGTATATGTAAGGAGGCGAATGTAAGACATTAACGTTAGCATTGACCCGTAATATTTTGCATTGTTTTGCTACAGATCCAAAGCCAAAAAAGGCCGACAGCACATCTACTTGACATTAAATATGGCTGGGCTATTTCAACAAATATTAAAACATACCTTAGCATCTGTTTCGTTAAGTTCAACTCCGACTAAGTATTTATTAAAATCCAACGGATCTCGCTTGCTGATACGTAGGACATCTGAAAAGTGAATATAGAATGAGTTCGGGCTATAATAATTTCTTTCGAATGGCCAAAGCCACAATGGGTCGACAACACATCTTGTTTAGATATTGTATGGCTGGGGGTACTCGGGTTGCACGTGTTTGTCTGTCTCCCTCTGACATAAGAAATATCGGTGTTACGGTACTTCTATTATATATATATTACCAGTTTAGACATTCCGTATTTTAGAGACAGATTCGATATTCCTAGCACACATGTAATATCCAGATTACCAAGCGAGGTCCAACATCTTTCAGAAAATTGATTAGAAACATTTAAATAAAACACTTTTAAACGCGATATATATCAGTTCAACATATTTGAAAATTATATTTAACGACGGCCCGACCTTCGTTAGTGTTTTATTTAAATGTGTAGTAATCGCGTAAACTACAGACAGTATTTGATTAGGAACGTGTTGAACCCGGTGGGGATCGACCCATGACCCGGTGGGGGGATCGACTAATGACCCGGTGGATGCGACCGGGACCCGGTGATTATAAAAGCCACACAACTAAATAAGTATAAATTAAAAAAAAAACGACTCGTACAGGGCTTGAACTGGCATTCTCAGCGTTCGGTGCTGTTGCTCGATTTTCAATTTATATATTGCAATCATGTGAAAAATATTTAAGTTTCCAAAAACAATACATACTACTGGCAACATCGTCTGCTCGTTCGAAATCGACTTTCGGGTAAGTATCGCTGACGCTCCGTAGACTGACAGTCTCGTTAACTTTGTAGAGCACCCTTTGATTGTCCAGATCCTTATAGACGTCCAGGTTCATAGCGACCGCCGGTTGTTTATCCGGTGGGATGGTGGCGTCGTTGATGGAGTACGTCACACCGCAGATGAACAATATCGGCAGGATCACTTGCTGTAAAAGTGACGAATGTATTTAATTTAAAGCTGTGTTTGTTTGATTGCACGAGCTTATCTCAGGAACTACTAGTTCTAGTGGAAACATTATTTTTGTCTTGCATAGATAATTCATATTGGAAGAGTTTAGGCTTTTAAAACATCAGGCTGCGGCGAATAGAAGCGACGGAAGTGGCAAATTAGTAATATTTAAGGGTTTCGTTGTTTACGCAGCGAATACGCTTAAATTTAAAGTACGTAGAAAGGAGTTATTCTTCTTTAATTCTTCTCTATCAATATATCAATTATAACATTAACTCTCAAGAATCGTTTTTATGGTCAAAATTTTGTCAAAATATTCGGCAGGTCAGCTACTATGTATATACAGACACACTGACACGAGAAACATGAGTTCAGTTCTAAGACCATATGTAATGGGGTTGAAACGGACGCAGGGTGTACGGACAAACGCCCGTACATTTTTTTTTGTATTTTTATTATAATATTATTTTATAGCATAGCTAGCATAATTCTAATTCTATGTCAGCGTCGTGCTCACTTCAATGTTTATATATAAAGCAAATTTACAAGGTTAGCTTAGTGAGCGTCCTAATTTCCTATTTTCTTGTAAATTATCTTAAAACAACTATTATAGGAAATAAATCAGTTGCACGACAGCACTCATTGGGTTTGGTTACCTCGCCTCCCTCCTTAACTTATCTTTATCTTCATCATTTATCTTACAACTATCTTATATATCTGTTATACACAACAGCCTCTGGTACCTGAAACTCGGGAGTATACGCTTGAACTGTTCTACAATATACAGGGACATAAAACACTTAACGGTTTAAAACGCGGCGTATATTAGTTAACTAAGACCCATTTCGTTCGTTTTTAATCATGCTTTCACGGCCATCGTTCAGCATATCATTGTTTTTCGGGCTGTCGGGCGGATAATTGAATTCTTCGAGCAATCGAGGAGCTAACATCTGCCGATGATGCCGTCCGCTCGTGATGGCAAAACGTCGAGAACCTCTTCTCGCTCACGTCAGCCGAACAGCAGTACTGCGCTCAGCGCTTACATCCACAAAAAAGCCTTTTTAGCCTTGAATATTCAAAGGACTGTGTCGACAGTACTCACTAATGCAATGAAGGACTTCTTTCTGGACCACAGGTATTTCAATTGGCGTTTGAATAAGACGGAGAACTGGCGAAGGTAGAGCGGCAGACCGGTCACTTTCGGGTAGTTCGCTTCTGCGGGACACAAAATTAATTTATAAATATGTGTAGTACACGCATTTTTTTGCCACATTAGGGAAAAGAAGCAGGATGCACCTCCTCTATATTTTGAATAGATGCGCTGTTGGCCTATGTTCATGTTTCACGTCCGTCCCTGGCATCTATTTCAGACATTTTATACTAAGTCTAATATGTTATCAAGCAAAGTATGTATTAATTTTTAGCAGAAAATATTTCGTCAGAAATAAAAAAATATTAATTGGTCTCCATGACCACGTCTGGTGTTAAGTAAATGGAAGATACAAATTTATCTTCCCAATATGTGGGCGAACTCTAAAAGGATAGAACCGATTTAAAACAAATTTTGTACATCTTTTTTAGACTTGAGAATAAGTTTTTATCATTTAAATTTCACTTTAACGGTTTAAAACTCGATATATTTTAGTTAAACTTGTTTGAAAATTATTTTTGACTACGGCCCGACGTTTCGGATGCTTTGCAGCAGCCGTGGTCATGGGAGAAATAAATCGCGTTTTAATCCGTTAAAGTGTTTTATTTAAATGTGTACTACTCGCGTAAACTACAGACAGTATTTAAGTTTTATCATTCAATCGTATTACATGCTAAGTAAACACACAGTATTATTTTTCTATCAAAATATTTTTTAGATGGATAGGTCAAAATAACGTTACTGGGTTAGTATGTTCTAAATTTTTTTATGGACTGTTAAATACCATGAAATTAAATTACCTTGTGTTGTGGCGTCCACTTCGTCGTCATCAAAATTAGTTGTTATATCACTGCACAATCTAAAACACATTAATGGGTTAACTCCACAATAAAAACTCGCTGCTTCTACTAAGTGAAAGTTTGTATGGAAATTCGTGGTTTTTGAAGATAGAGCAATGAAACTTCCTTCTTTTTTTTTGGGAATAGAAGTAGGAGTAGGAGTGGGAGTCAGAGTGGAAGTTAAAGCAGGAGTGATGTGAGGTGAGAGTGATGCGGCAAAGTAGCACTTACAACATAGATTGGCTGCGATAAATGCACAATTACATAAATTAATAAACAGCCTAAATAATTAAAAACTCTACCCTTACTTATATACTAGCTGTATATAATAAAAGAAAGAAACAAAAATTCACTCACTTCAAAAAGACTTCCTCTAACGTAGACTTTCCGACCCCAATCGCATCTATACCCAGTTGGTGTCTCTTCTTTTCCAACGTGGAAAATAATTTCCCGAACTTGGCGCTGTCTTTCGCCGGCAAATTGTACGATATTGAGTTCATCGAGGTCTCCTTGACACTGGCATCCGGGATTTGGGATTGCACCACTTCCGTTATCAACCGCTCGTTCGGTAGACCGATAGTGGTGAAGGTGAGACGGTAGCCGGTCCCTGAAATTGACGGAAAGAGAACAGTATTTATTTGTCATTAGTTTACCATTTTAATGAAAGTATGAACAATTTATAATTTTTCAGAAAGAAACGATTAGTGAAGCGGATAGAGAAATGTTTTCGCCCCATGAGGGGAATATACAATTATACATATTAAGGTGTAATTTATAAGTTATTTAGATAATATGTTATTCCAGAAATGAAAGGTATTTAAAATTATTTTGTAAGAATCGTATTGGAAAATGTATGAACAAGTAAAAAAAATATAAGGTAGGTGTTACCTAGTGCTCTTTTTAGGTGCATCGGTGTGGCGTGACAGCGAAGCTTTCCAGCATGGAGGGCAGCCACTCGGTCGCCCAGAGCGTCAGCTTCTTCCATGAAGTGGGTACTCAGCAGGACAGTGCGGGACCCGCGTAGTGACTGAAATTATCATAAATCACTCTTTAAAATTATCATCATCGATGCAAAAATACAACGTATTGTAATTGTCTGCCGTTTACGGAGGTGACACATATTAAATGAAATACTTTTTAACGGTTCAAAATGCGAAATATATTCGTTAAATGAATTTTAACTACGACCCGAAGTCCCGATTATTTCAAAAATACAACGCATTGTCAATGTCTATCGTTGATGAAAATGGTACACATTAAATTAAACACTTTTTAACGGTTTAAAATGCGAAAATTATTCAATGATTTTAACTACGATCCGACGCTCCAGATACTAGGCAAGATCAGGTCGAGTCAGTTGTTCTAGTGACAACAACGAATATTTTTCTATAAAGAAAATATATGCACATTGGACTCGGTGGGGGTTAAGCCCAAGATCCGTTTTCATAATATGAATCATATTTTTTTCTAAATATGTATAATCGTATGCATAACTTTTTATATTGAGACAACGTACAAACGCGCATCACTCACCGTCAATAAATCCCACAACTGCCTCCTGGATTCCACATCAAGCCCAGCGGTGGGCTCATCTAGTACCAGGAGCCTAGCATCACCCGCCAACGCACAACCGAGCTGTAACCGCCTCTTCATGCCACCGGATAGAGCACTACTGGGTTCGTTCAGCTTAGGGGATAAACCCAGGTGCTCCAACAGTTTAAGGGACGAGGACTTAGCCTCAGTGTAGCCGATGCCTTTGAGCTAGAACAAAGATGTCTTCTTGTTATTAATATATGTGTTTTGTCTCTTTTTTATTATTCACATTTTAGATGACACTTCCGTGAAAGAGACATTAAATGGTAAAAGTTAATTTATGCCATTTCTTAAATGATGTTTTGTTTCAATGTATATTCTAGATATGTATGTACGTGCTGGTTTCTTACCATTGTGAAGAAGATAATATGCTCCAACACAGTGAGGTCCGGGAAAAAGAGATTGTGCTGAGGGCAAAGCCCTAGGTGCTGTCGCATTTCATTTCTTTGCGTTGCTGTATCTAGTCCCTCTACGTATACTTGGCCTTCGCTTGGAGATAACATTCCTATAAGTTATATAAGTTATTAATTAATTATCATATGAGAACGTTCAAAATACATTGTTGCTTGAAGGACCACTACCGTTACACTTGATATTTTTAAAGACTTACCAGTGATAATAGACATAAGAGTGGTTTTGCCGGCGCCGTTGTGCCCGAGCAATACCGTAATCTCACCACGGTACACGTCCATATTGACGTTGTTAAGGGCTCGCTTCTTGCCGAACACCTGAATTATGTACATTTTAGAGTTATTTTTAAGAGTACAAATTGCTTTTCAACACAATAATTCTAGCTCTATTATCTATTTACCTTAGAAACATTGATGATCTTGATACCAGCTTCGGCATTCCTAGGGGCTGGTTCGAAGAATAGTCCATCTTCTTCGTCTTCCATTTCCTGCATTTCTTCAGACTCTTCTTCAGGGACCACTTGCCGTTTGGACCAATAACTTTTCTGTATTCAATGTATATGAAAGTATTCATTTAGTTATCTGATACATTTTTATTTTACATAACTATGAACGGATTACAATGTAATTCTTAGAAGAAAAGATTTCCTTACCTGACAAAAGAAAGTCCAAGGCAAGGCCTGGCCGTAAGGTCCTGGGTTTACGAGTGACAAATAGTGCGCGAGCGAGAAGAAAATAGCAGTCTGCAGCACGAGGAATAAGTAGCACCCGATCACCGAGACACCGCCCTGGCTATGTGGCTTTGCCATGTTGGAGAAGGTTATGCCTTTACCTGTGTAATAAATTTTATTAAATGAACTATAAAACAATTTTTTACATTGTAATTTTGGCAATTACAAGTAATATTACAAACATTGTTTCAGTTAAGTGAGTAGTATTGGTATCTGGAAAGATTGGTAGCTGTTGGTAGGTACGAGTCTAAGATTTCATAATTAAAGAAAATAAGAAGAGATGGTGGAATTAAATACTTCCAACGGTTTTAAACGCGTGATCATCCACGGTTGCTGCAAAGCATACGAAACGTCGGGTCGATTTAAAAATAAATAATATATATTGCGTTTTAAATACTTAAAACTGTTTCATTAAATTACTCGTTTTTTGGTGATGTTTTCTTTCAATTAAAACTAACTTTATTTGAGCCACATACCATACAGTTCGAGGGCAACCATATCTTCCCAGAAGCAGACCATGGGCGCGTGGGGGATGAGCATCGAGAAGGGCCTCGCCCACCAAGGCACGATCACGCCCTGGATCCACGTGGTGGGGTACTTCAGAATCACGTACACCGTAGACGCCAGACTCACGACATACTGAGCTATAGTTAAAATTTTATATTGTTAAAGCATAAGATAATAGGAAATTCAATTTACCTAGAAAAGATCAGATCTTACTGCATGTTTTTCGTCTTATCTACTGGCCTAACTCAAACAAACGTTAGTTTAAGCCGACACATTTACATTAAATATATATTTATATTGATTGATTGATGGTGAAATAAGCCAGCCATATAAGCTCTAAACTAGATGCGCTGTCGGCCTATTTTGGGTTTGCATATTCGAAAAAGAAATAGTAATCAAGCCTTTGTGGAAATTTTTATCTAAATTTGTTTAGCAATTTGACCTAGCGTATGCTGTTACTCTCTCCACACTAGTAGAGCTGCATATTAGATCAGCAATCTAGGCTATTCATTCAGTCTTTTCAAATCGTGGATCAATTCGAGTGATTTGCGCCGTTTTAAGAGAAAATTAATATTTATTTTTATATTAGCTTTCTTTCAACTTATCATAAATTTCCAATAGAAATTTTAAGAAAAAATAAACAAGACCAGCCGTGCCTAAGCAGACTAATTCTAAGTAAACAATATACTAACGGCTTTTCAACATATAGCTGAATGCGAACGCCAATGAAATAATGCTGACGAAGTGCAGCAGCAACATTATGGCGACCAGCAGCGGGTTGGTATGACGTAGCAGCGGATTCGAAGACGCAGTCAGTAGAGCCGTGCCGACAACACTGAAGATGATCCCAGCGGGTAGAACGTTCAGGAAGTGTGATATACTGATCAGGTTTGAGGACACCCCCACCATTTTTATCAGCTCCTGGTACCAAAAATAAAAAATGCCATGAACCCGTTTTCCACATTTACCCCATGAATTTTTGGTTGTGCCTTTTTCAAAATTTTGAAAAAGGGAAGGCGACATAAGACATTAACTGTGGGACTTAAAAGAAATATTTCGAGTTTTAAACCGTTAAACGGCTTTTATTACTAAAAAGGAAAAAAAAAAAAAAAAAAAAAAAAAAAAAAAAAAAAAGTAAATTCAATATTTTAATTTCACATAATATGACAGCTAAGTTCGATATATTTAATTTTAAAAGTAATTTATCTGAACAAATATTGAATTTATCATCATGTTTTCCTAACAGTAGAGAGTATGCATGTTTAAAACATTATTTGTTATCAACGGCGTTTGTACGTCTGTATGCTCGTTTGATTGAATAAAAATTGTTTTAAAATCGATTTAATAAACACATAATTGAACATTTGTTGCGGTTGAGTTGCACGAGAATTGTATAATGTTATGAAAATCTAGTTGAGAAAAATATTACTGGAGTCGACTCAAACCCGCGTTCCTCCAAAAAGCTACCGAAAGACGTCATTTTAAAATAATAGATATTGGGCTGTACTCAAAAAGGCCACTTGTTTAAAATATTTTAACGGTTTAAAACTCGATAAATATTAGATAACGTATTTTTTCTTATGTCTCATGGTCGTTTGCATTTACCTACTCACTCCTCTTCAATAAAGATGAATTGTATAATAGAGAGATCTTCTATCACTTACCTGAATACCAGAACAGCGTTCTTCTAGCAGCCTCGAAGCTGTAAACACGAAGACCAGCACGAGGGACAACCAAGAGATTACGATCAGAAGAATTCCGATCAGCCCCACGGTCTCATTCTGCGCTGCTTCAGCGTAGGGGAACTCTTGGACGGTGACCTTCTGCAGATGACGAATCGTTTGAATACAATTGTTAATAAATAATTGTTGGATACTCAATTGACCTTCTAGATCGTATAAGAAGGTCAAATGATAATAATAATAATCTGGTACAAAAACTTTTAATGATAGCGGAGGACAGCCAACTATTGCTTTGCTATGGAATCCCCACCCAATGTGCTATTTACCTATATTGGCATATTGGTGTTCAGACTGAATCCGAAATGCACATTGTGTCAGTTGAAGTCCATATGTTCGTGACTAGGAGTGAATTCGGAATTACTACTAACTTTTTAAATATCCCGATATCAGCTCAAAAATGTTGAATCCGGGTATCGTACCCATGGTCCCTTATTACCTTGAGCTTCTGCTTCTGGGGTAACGAGCTTATCGAACGAGAGTCGCACATGATTTTTGATTTGAACTTACTTGTTTAATAACGTTTCCGGTTAAAAGCTGAAGATAGGTCGAATCTATCGCCCATTGCAAGCGAAGGAACCTGTTGTAGACGGTACCTGGAAGAAGCCTTATTTAAACCTTCCAATTAAGCCACCTTGTACCGGTCGTAAAAAATAAAATAAATATTTTTCTGTATCAAAATTACTTTATTTGGTCTTTAGTATTGGTTCTTATGGCGGCAACAGAAACACAGACAATGGTCAGCCCACGCGGTTCTTGAGACTTTGTAAAAGACATACTTCATTTTATTAGAGGGAGGGAGACAAACATTTTAATTTGATGATAAGTGAACTAACTGGGCTGAGCTAAAAATTTGTTATTATTGACTTCAGCCGATTCGCGATTACACAGCGATGACCATCCATTTAACAGTCAGATTATACAGATGAAGTCTATAATATTTCAGAGTAAAAATTGTTATTTAGAAACATGTGGGAATCTAACCCATCAGACACAAACTATTGCTACAGTTAGACCAATGAGTATGTCAAAACTGCGCCTTACAGTCTTAGTACTTAGTTCCGTTTTTACTTTTGAAGAACAGAATTTTAAACTATCTCCGTATAAATTAAAAATCGATTATAAATTTAAAAAAATCAATTGGTCTCGCCCGTGTTGTATTTTTTAAAATCGATTTTTAATTTATATAGTGCCATCACGTGCAATAACATGTGAAAAAATAATGTTTTGAAACGATATCTGTATGTAGAAGACGTTACATCTTTACCACGTCGGTAACCATAGCAACGTATTACAATTGTTCAGTTGGCCTATATTGACTAGTAAGAAGCAAAAATGCTTCCATTATTGTTTCTAAGGAACCATATTATGTTGACACTGTATATAGCAGAGTGTCATTTCAACCATTCCAAGTAACGATTAGGTATTCTTTCTACGAACACTTCGCGATAAGGCTCGCGTTCAAATAAATCATATCTTTGTTATGCCATACATTCTTGTAATTTGTACGATAGTGGTTCACAAGTATAGCGTTCATTTCATGGTATGTAACCCAGACATGTTATATGTCTGGGTACCTAAGCCATTTAATATTGTATATAATCCAATCCACAGACCAAATCGTGATTTAATACGCCGGTCTTTTCATCATTGGACGTTGGTTCGTGGTCTGGATGGAATTCCAATATTCTGAGACGAAGTCTTCCATGTTTCAGGAAATTATAAATTGATAACAAAGTTATTTGATTTAGAATTTAGTTGATTTTGGATATCGTAAACCATCGGCCCTAAATGTTAGCACAATAATGTATGTTTTTGCTGCCTACGAAAGGCCCACCCGCATAATGTGGCCTTCTTCTTTTGGGATTTAATATTATAAAGTTGAGGACTCTGTTTGTTTGTTTGAACACGCTAATCTCAGTAACTACTAATTCGAATAGAAAATTTTCTTGGACAGACCATTTATAGAGGAAGACTTTGGGCTTATATAACATGACGCTGCGAGCAATGGGGGGACAATAGAAAATATAGAAAAAACGGTGGAAATTAATCTGTGATGTCTTCCGTTGTGTGCGCTGCTGGGAATATGGTATAAATTATATGATAGATAGAAATGATGTGAGCGAGAAGAGGTTCTCGACGTTTCCCCATCACGAGCGGACGGCATTGTCCTGTTAGAACAGCCCGTTAAACACTTTCGAACTGCCTTACTCAATTTCGAATGATTCTTCTTTAAATAATCTAAAAATGTTAAATAAATTAACAAGCACCGTTTTTATGATAATCGAATTTGGTCGGAATTAATGCATTATTACCAAGTTTTGTTGGAGTTGTATTATTATTATTTATTATTTTCTGTCGGGGACACCCTTGGCAGGACGGGTGATCAGTCCACGTTGTCCGCTGACCATTTCACCCATTTCCTCCTTGCAGGTTTTGGTTTATCCAACTCTTCCCGTGTCCCCTTCAAACCTTCCGGTTTGCTTGCAGAATCTTATTATTTTTTCCATCTGTAGTTCTTTAGTTTGAGTTGTAACAACAAATTACTAGCAGTCATAAGTTCCTGAGACTAGCGCGTTCAAACAAACGAAACAAACGAACTCTATAGCTTTCTTTATTTGTATAGATTGTGTCATCAAATAACTTCTTACCGTAGTTTTCGTGAGAGCCGAGGCTTGGTTCAATCCTGAACGATAAATTTTCTTTTATTCTTATCGTGTAATTCAATTTTTCCGGCCACGTGCCGTTGACATTCTGAAATGAAAAGCTATAATTAGAAATATGACTATCTTTCATAATAAGGGACGTTTGATTCGCGTTTATTGTCAGATACCAAAAGGTTACTTTCTATAGCAACCGGGTTAGCTCAACGCTTTGCAGGGAAGGTCCTAAATTCAAATACCGGAAAAGCAAAAAAAAATCTAAGCTAAAGCTAGCGTATAAGTAGCGGTACGGATCTTTAGCGCTGAACGAATCCTGCGCAGTAGTAAAAAATAAGGTATCGAAGGGATGGAATTGTTTAATTGATTGGCTCGCCAGTCGTCTTGTCTTTCTCAAACCAATACGACGCTCCCGTTGCATCTCGCGTACAGTCACGTTTTCCAATCGACTACGTGCGCGATTGTACAGACGCGCAAATCCGTGCGCGGCATGGATGTTTAGCGCTGAACGGGGACAGCGCTAAACATCCGTGCCGCGACCTATACAGAAGTCTAATCAAGTACTTATTTGTAAATAAAACCTCTCATTGAAACGGACATAGATACGTGTGTGTCCCATGCCCCTCAGGGGAAAAGGAGATTCTTCTGCAATTCCTAAACATGGATGTGAGGCAAAAAATTTCAATACAAACGAGGAGACAATTGAAAAATATTTTTCCGATTTTACAATACTTTGCTTCGGCCCATGTCCCCTGAATGTCGCGCGTAAGTAAAATGAAATGTAAAAAAACGTAATAAAACGAAAGAAAATAATAAGTTAGTAAATAAGATATAATAATGACCGCCTCTGTAGTCAAATGGTTAAACGTATAGCCTAGCATTGGGTTAAGCGCGAGAGGTTCTGGGTTCAAATCCCAGGGGAATAAAAAATTGTTGCGTTCGGGTAGGGCACAGAAATCTGATCAACTACTTGCCTCTTAAAGAACGGATTAGTGAAACGGACACAAAAAAGCGTTAACGCATCCTATTTCCCCGACAATAACCTTAATGTAATAAATAGATAAAAGTTATACATAAAAACATTCATTTTGTTTCCCATCTCTGAAATGGATGGACTGATTTTGATTGGACTTTATGTTACACTCCTGAAATCGTGCGCATCTATCTATTATCTTACTATATTATGTATTGTACAAACTCATGGATGCGTGAAGGATATTTTTAAAGGCATTGTAATTTGTTTCAGGCGATTTCATAGAAATTAAAAGGGTCCTAAGTAAGTTTTAAAGTACTCAGGAATGTATTGTCTGTTTACAATACTAATAAATAATAAATTTTAATATTAATAATACATTTAAATAAAACACTTTAAACCGATTTAAACGAGAGATATATTTTCAAGTTTGTTATGTTAAATTAAAAATGAGTTAACAGTTATATTTTGCGTTTTAAACCGTTAAAAGTGTTTTACTTCAACGCCTAAGAGTGGTTAAAATTCTTGATTGAATCAAACACGTCTTTCGTCGTTTATAACATATTTAGATAATTAATATACTGTGACAAATATATACGGACCTACAGATCGCCTCCATAGCCTAGTGCTGAGCTAAGCACAAGATGTCCTGTGTTCGAGTTCCGGTAAAACTGTATTTTGTTTCAATCCGGCAAGATCCAAGACAAGTATGATAAACTTTTCAGTTCACCCCACAAGGTGAAACGTGTACAGATATAGGAAAGGTGAAAATTGACAAATTCCTTTATTCTTTCCCAATTTTATTAACCTTCGTTGTAATTTCACGGCGGTTACAGTACAATCCAATTGCAAGTTTGTTGCAGAAGAGTTCAGTTACAAAGGGTTCTATTGTTTCCTTAGCTTGAATTAATGTGACTCATACTTTCAAACTCGTGAATTATTCTAAGCTATTGTATACATCTACAATAAACTTTTTACGAGAAAAAAAGGCACAGATAAAATATTAATAGACATATCATACACATTTAACGGTTCAAAACACAAATTCAATTATTATTAACACATTTCGCGTTTTAAACTGTTAAAAGTATATAATTTAAATAATGTTTTACTTATGCAAATTGTTTTATTGTTGAGATATATAAAACAAAGTATAGGATTAGGTTCAGTGTATTTGCTGTGTGTTATTATTGCAAATATATCACAAACAAAGAGCCACAGAGGGAAATACTATTCTTATACACGAAGTCCGCAAAGAGCGGAAGTGTCATCAGAGCTCATTATATATAATTCTGTGTTTAATATTCTTTGATAATACTTATACTGACCTGAAAAATGACAATGGCATCACCGTATTCTAGGGAACCAGCAGTTTTTGTGAGTTCAGCCTCATTCGCTAGAGGAAGATAACCAGGGAACCATGCTTGACCTGTAATACAAAGTATACTAAAATATTTTCACTGAAATTAGTTTTATGCTTTAAAAAAATCTGAATAGACTTCACTTAATTTTTAATGATTAAATATCAAATTGAATTTAATATTAGCAGAAGTTAATCTTTCAATATTGTGGGCCGCAAACTAAACATCTTAACCATGAACTAACTACCTTCTTTCAATCTTTTCAGACCCAACTGTGAGCCAACTCTTTCCATTAACAAATTTGTAAGTTCCGTTTCAGGTATGTAATAAACCTTTCTTGGTGGTTCCAGTTTATCCAATGGAAGGATATCCTGCAAGAAAAATATCATAAGTTTGGAAGTTAATTTATAGCTGGCTTGTCTAGAGGTGTAGCCAAAAAGAGGGTTGGCTTTAAAACTAGAATAAAATACTAGATGGTTATTGATCATATGGGGCCATTTATCTCAAAAAGAAATTTCATGGGTGTAATCTCAGTGAGTCATAAGCATTCTGGACTAGTGCCAAATAAAATATTGATCAAATGAGGGTGCCAATTTTTTTTTCTCTTTAAATTAATGCCTTTTATGACCATTTTAATAAAAGTCATATTCACAGATATTTTTTACCAAATATTATAAAGCTTTATCTATGTTAAAAAAAGTGATAACAAAAACCAGGAAAGTAAAGTATTGCATACATTGGCTGCACCTCCAATATGAATGGTTCATATCAATACATATTCATTTATAGAAAAACAATAATTAATACTACTAAAATAATTTAAACTAAATAATCTTACCGTGTTATGGACATTGAAATCACTCAATTGTAATGTCTTATTTACAGGGTTTATCTTGTCTTTGAATATATACAGAATGATAAATAGAACAATTGGAGACAGAAGTTCTATTGGTGTATGGAGGAACCTTTTGATTCGCACCATAAGGTGCTTCCACATAAGCACCAGTAAAGCACCCCTCATAATTATCGATTGCAATTACAGCCACTTTGTTATAATCACTTTGTTATATCAACATTGCAGTCGGGACAATGTATTCGCCCAATTGTTTTAAAACACAAAGCTAAGTTTCGGATCCATTACAATGAAGAAGAACGAAATGTTTAAGCACTTTCCTCAAAAACTTCCATTGGATTACATTTTTTCTATAATGTAGACAATCAGTAACATATCTCTTCGATACAACGACGAGGACTAATTTTTAAAATTCTAAACAGAAGTTTAAAGTTGAATTTGCACTACGCAATGAAAAATATTGACATCTGTCAGTTTTCTATGACAGATGGACTCTCCATAAACCATAGATAATAATGTCTGTCATCTATCAATTAAATGAGTCATATTCACAACTAGTTCTTAAAAAGTGGCATAGATGGCACTATATGCACACAATCAGCTTATGAAGGATAATAATATAATATATCCGATTAATAATTAATAGACGATTTTAATTTGTTTACCTAAATAAAATTAAATTATCTTTTCGCAATTTTTATTTGTAATTTTAGTAAAGCCAAGTTCAGCGTTATTTATCATTCGGTCCATGTCCTGCGTCGTCTAAGAAATAGCAAATAGATTTTGGTAATACTTTTATATTGTGTGTACAATGTATTGAGTTGATTACGCAATTATGTTCAATTTTATATATCGAGAATAACCAATCCGATAGTAAGATCTAACATGTTATGAATCAAAGCCATGAAATTTACGACTTAAAAAAAAAACAATAAAAATTTAGGTATTCATAAAAAAAAACATTACTCGCGTATAGGTAAACTACAGATAGTCGCTTCGTTATCAGTTTATTTACTTTTTTAATAATATAAAGCACTATATGCACACAATCAGCTTATGAAGGATAATAATATAATATATCCGATTAATAATTAATAGACGATTTTAATTTGTTTACCTAAATAAAATTAAATTATCTTTTCGCAATTTTTATTTGTAATTTTAGTAAAGCCAAGTTCAGCGTTATTTATCATTCGGTCCATGTCCTGCGTCGTCTAAGAAATAGCAAATAGATTTTGGTAATACTTTTATATTGTGTGTACAATGTATTGAGTTGATTACGCAATTATGTTCAATTTTATATATCGAGAATAACCAATCCGATAGTAAGATCTAACATGTTATGAATCAAAGCCATGAAATTTACGACTTAAAAAAAAAACAATAAAAATTTAGGTATTCATAAAAAAAAACATTACTCGCGTATAGGTAAACTACAGATAGTCGCTTCGTTATCAGTTTATTTACTTTTTTAATAATATAAAGGAATATTCAAATAGTTCTTAATTACCGAAGAAGCTTTGTAAAGTGACCGCGACATCTTTGAACGATTTATAAAAAAAGACATGTTGTTAACTTATTTCATTGAAATAATGAGTTTTTATTACAATGTATAATTAATTAGCTTTTTAATTCTTCAAGTCAAACCGTTACCTACTTCTGTTTAGCTTATGCGTTATACTTAGCGAGGTAGGTACTATTACAATCTATATCTATACTTAATATATAAAGCTGAAGAGTTTGTTTGTTTGTTTGAACGTACTAATCTCAGGAAGTACTGGTTCGAATTAAAAATTTCTTTTTGTGTTGGTTAGAGCATCTATGGAGGAATGGAGCGTTTTATCGCTCGAGCGATCGTCGCTTTAGGTCGTCGGGTCTTCGGACCCAACTTACAAGTTACAACATAGATTGGTTTCCCTAAATGCGCCCTTACATAAATTTATAAACAGCCTAAATTATTAAAAATTCTACCACAAGTCACTATTCCCCAGCACAGCTAGTCATTCATAATTAGCCAACAGAATAAAAGTATACATGCTTGAGTAAGCGAAGTAAAACGTGAAAATTAAAAAAAAAACAATAAATTGAAATAAGTAATTTCTTAATCTCTCGTTCAAATTTCCTTCTTTTGTATTATATTTCATAAGAAATAAAATTTAAGTGGTGTCTCCCCGAGACCACGGCTGCTGCAAAGCATCCGAAACGTCGGGCCGAAGTTAAAAACAATTTTTAAATAAGTTTTACTGATATATGGCGTTTAAAATCGTTAAAGTGTTTTATTTAAATGTGTACTACTCGCGTAAGCTGTAGACAGTATTTGTATCTTATATTTTTTTGTTATTATATAATGTTTTATATTGGCCAAACGCAAAACATCTGCTATTTTTGAAATTGAAAATTAATGTTTGCTTTCACGATAAAATGGCAATAATAATGTTTCGTGATTGCGGATAAAATAAAATCCCATACAGTTTTCAAAATGTAATATATTTCGTGGAACCCGTAGCGTTTCTTAGCTGATTCATATAAAATTTATACAAATAGATTAATATATTTCACTAATAAATCGATATTCTTTACAATAATTTCACAGTTCCTATAAATTATCATTTAATATTTTTTTACGATTATCTAAATTCGTTACACTTATCTTGGGATAATATTGGCACCATTCTCCTTAACCTCGCATTCCTAACATGATAAGTATTTCCGAAATGAGAAACGCTAAAATAAGTTGAGATTCGCAAAAGAGAAGAGTTTATCTAACAGACGAGTAAGTATAAACCGCAATTAATAATTAATGATCAGTATAAATCAGTGATAATATTAATTCTTAAACACTGGTTATACCTAAGGCTGCGTCATTAATAAAGTAAAGTAACAAATAAATAGGTCGGAAGTATGATATAAAAATAAATCTGTATAAATACTTAAAACTAACGTAACCACTATGCAATCGGATACTCTGTCGACGCAAATAGATAAACAAACGGTGCTACAGATAATCTTAAAATGGGCTAAAAATTTTATTATAAATAATATAAAAGTAACTCAAAGCTTTGAATGAATTATTTAGAATCCGAATGAATTAAATACAATGCTTACTGAATTAAAATTACAATGGTGATAGAATACTAATGCAAGTTACTGTCAAAACTGTGCGTTATTTAAACTAACTAAATATCTACAGAGTATAAATATCGTGACGGTATAGACGAAAATGACGCGATAAATACATGTTAGTCTGAATCTATGATAATATCTTTTAGATAACAAGCATAAGTAGGTAAAATACTGTGTCTGGAATGCTTCATAATTTTTAAGACTTATCAAGCAATCTCGGTTGGTATATTTTTTTGAGACAGATATTAAGCTGACTTACATATCCGTCGTTTTTTTCTTTATAATCTAGTAGGTGACATAATAAAACTCATCTCTAATGTACTTTACACTCCCGTAGCAAGCTTACACTTAACACAAAATCCTTAAAACTGTATGCACATTATTAAATACAAATTATGATAACATTAAAATTAGCAGCAAACATAAATAATTTTATGTCGCATTAAGACTAGAATACGTTGAGGATAGATATCTGGAGGAACTAGACGTATGAGATTCACAAATAAAGCCGGAATTATTTTGTGAACTTTTTTATTAAACAATCAGAATGATTTACGCGGCAATTTAGTTGTGACGGAAGTCGCTCTAGATTGTCTATGGTTGTATTGTTGTTGAATGTCAATAGATGGCGCGAATTGTTGTGATGGGTGTTAACGTTTTCCGATGAAATCGATCAGTTGATCCAGTTCCTCCTCCTCGTCCATGAGGCACAGAGACTCCATACAACCCTTGAAGAAGGGTGTAGTAAAACAATCCGACCTGAAACAGTAAATTCCTCGTTAGTATGTTCTGAACATTTCAAGGAGGTCCAGTCAGACTTGTTAAAATATATTTAATCAAAGAAAAAAAAATGTAAACATTAGTTGTATCGATAAAATATTGAATATTTCTTACTTCTAGATATAAAGATACAAGGTACTTTAGTATTTTACGAAAAAACATGCATTATTTATTAAATGGTATGTTGATATCTAACATGCGAAGGTTGAAGAATAGTGATAGAGTTATTTGCCATAAGGAAGGAGTTCTGAACGAATACCTAATATTCGAAACGAACGAAACGAAAACCTATAATTCTATGTTTTGTCTTTTTATTCGATTGTCATGAAAATTTGCATTACAAAGATAAAACACAAAATTCAAAGTTTGGCGCGGTAGCGTTTTTTTTAGTAGACAATATTCGCTCATAAAGACTTACGTGTGCGATATTTACATAGTAAATAAAACATGCGATTAGTTGTGTAAATAAAACGATTTCAGTGTGTCATCTAGAGAGTAATAGAATATTATTGAAAAACCCAAGCTCGAGGAAAGTAGAAAGAGAACGTTTCTGGAATTTGCAATCTTATGTATAAAATAAAAAAAATGGTAAAAAATAAAAACCGAAATCATTTTTAAAGCAAAGATAATAAAAAAAAGAGAAAGATCAATTAAAAGGTTTAGCTGTCAGAAGTAGGATGTCCAAAAATTGCAAATTACAAAAACTAAAAAGCCAATCCCTCGGAGAAAAAAAATCATGTATACCTAAATCCCTGGGTCCGCCCCATTTAATTGTATTATATATTTCTTGAATATTTCGAGTTGATCGGTCTCTTGAAGTACCTCCACGCAGCCTTTGAAGTAGTCTGTCATGAAACAGTCTTTCCTGCACCCCAACAATCAATTACGTTTAGTTATCATAATCGCCATTGTTCAATTTTATAGACTAAATATCAGATTGGGCTTTTCATTATACATTAATGACATTGACATTCGATATACGAAAAGCCCAACTTATCTGTGTGCTGTAAAACGTCACGATTTAAAAAAGAGGAGTTTTGAACGACGCCATACCTGCAAAGAGTATAGAGCTGCGGTTCTCTAAAGAGGTTGTAGCAGTCGTCACAGATGCGGTCGAGGCGCGCGAAGATGGCCGCATCGAAGACACCTTTGCACTGGAGGTTGAAGAAAGACCGGCGGGCGACGTGGTGCGGCGTGGTGGCTGGCACCGCGGCTACCAGCGCCAGCGTCAACACAGCCGTGCACAGTTGCAACGAGTTTAGATGCATCTGAAATAGATATTTAAAGATAAATATAATGATAAGGCCTCATAGTATCACATATGACATTCGTTTGCGGTTGACGAGGGTGTGGTCAGCAGGTACATAGTAGAGTGTATAAGTTAACTAAGTTTGCATTAACATTCAGATTAAATCAAGACGCGACCTGCTTGTGGTGCCAAAAAGCAGTTGAAATAACGTATGTCAATATTGGGTTTCAGTCAATTGAATTTTCCTTATCCATATAATATAATATTAAAGTGACTTGTTTAAAAAAGGTATAAAATCGCAGACAACGCTCCAAAACCAGATTAATTAAGGAAATAACTGTTCGGTCAACAATAAAACAATGAATCATTTTTTAATTGAACGATTAAGTTTACGTCCAGTTTCTCTTTTAACATTTTAATTTTACGATTGCTGTTCAATATTTTAAAATTTCAATAATATCGAGGATATGGAAGGTCTTTATATATTTCTCATTTATGACAGGACAAACCAGACAATTGTTGAACTGTCCCAGTACTATCTAACTTAATATCGTTGGTGAAACCAAATACGGTTTTCGTTAAAGTTACACTACAATAATGCTGTAATTAGCTGGCAACAAAGTTGTTCAAAGCTATCCTCTTTGCAAACATAAAAAAGTATCCATAGATAAAACAGATAAACATGACTACGTATCAATCTATCATATTCTGTAGTAATGCCCACAGACCTACAACACTGTTCTTGGTACAACAAATAAGCGCGAAACTCGAACTGTGGATAAATTAGAACTGGATTTGCTATTTATAGCGAGCTAAGCTTTAATATAAATCGATTTTATCACAGGCGGTCATTTTAATCGCTCAATCAGTGTTGCAAGTTTATTACAAGTAATCACTACCTAGGCTAATCGGGCTAGTTTTACGCGGGAGGCCGTATTCGTTTTGTCAGGCAACATTTTATATTAATAGCATGAATTATACACACCTACTGGTGTTAAAATCCTTGTCAATAAGAGAACCTGCTCTGATGTAGAATAATTTATAGAAAAAGGGCCAAGTGTGAGTAGAATTGTCAAGTGTTTCAGGTAGATTGTTTACCTTTTACCATAAAAGCAGTGTCTATAATTTACTAAGCTAAAATTGTTTACCAAGACAGAATTCTGATTATTAAATTATTTCAATATTAAAAAGTGGATGTCCAAATAAAAGTTTATTTTTCTGATCTGAATATAAACATTTGTTGAACCTGTGATGCCTGATGATTGCAAGATAACCGGGTCACTAGTATAATATTTTTGTATTAAATTATTGAAATTTTCTAGATTAAATTCCTGAGTAGAACTTTGTACAGAGGGACAATGAAGTATTCGTAAAAAGATACCGTTTTTATTTTTTGAGTACGGAACCCTACTAATTGCCAAACACCTTAAATAGCCTTCGAAATCGTTTTTTTATGGTAGAGGATGATCGCCTATTTAATATCCAGATTGAAGCCGTGTGAAGATACGAGTGACTTCGAAAAAACAAAGACTCTCTAAATCCTGCGATCTTATCTGCGTCGTAAATCGGCGGCGTCTCTACACACGACGGCGCCCTAGGCCTCCGCTGATTCATGCATTCTGTACAGAGTTATTATGGTCGTGGATCGCGTGAGAACCAATTGTGATGGGCATTCGTGCACTGAAGCTTCTGGAGTTTTATTGACGTACGATATTACGTCAATAACGGAAAATGTTATGTTTTATATACTTGTTTATGTTGTAAGAAAAATACATGGGTGTCTTAAAGATAAGGTAGGCTAAGAGTATGTGAATATATAACTATAGATATCTAAACTAAAATCCGATTTTAGATTGAAAAAAATTTACGACACAGACAGTACATGAACCGGCACCCACAGCGTTCCGTGCTGTTGCTTTAATTAAGTGATAGACACGGTAGCTCAATGGGTTAGAGCAACAGCACGGAACGCTATGGATGCCGGTTCTTACCCCAGTCGTAATTAAAAAAAAATCTATATTAAATTTTACATGTATATAATGCCATCATGTGCAAAATTAAAAATATTAAAGTTTTATACATATCATATAGTTAATAGATTAAGTAAAGGCTTGTTTGCCCCTTTATTGATCCATGGTCCAATATGTGGAATGTGTGGTCCTAATATTAATTAACGACTGTTCGATTTATTTGCAGAACATCTTCCATAAATATTTAAAAAATTCTTACACATCGTCTGGTAAATCTGAATATTAAATATTTAGTACGCGATCACGATTCACGACCACCGTCCACAGATGAAAAAGACGTGAAGTAAATCTACGTTTTTAATCTGTGAACGATTTTTCAGACACTGGTGTTTCGGAGAAAATATGAATAGATTTTTAGAAAATGGTTAATGGTTTGACATTGCTACCAATGGACCAACGTGCCAGGTGCACGATATCCGATACGTAACTTCCATGGTTTCAGTATGTATAGTGACAAAACTGTTTTAATTGACTGAAAAGTCTCCGCACACCACTCATATGGATGAGTTGAGCGGCTACTCTTGCGAGGCCAGACTGCTCGGCTACCAAGCTATATAAAATGTGGGATACTCTCGTTTTTGCCGCGAACAATCTCGTTCGGAATAATTGCGCGCCATCTTGCTAATAGTACGAGCCTACATACTCGCGTAATTGTATAAATGCCGAGAGGTTTCCTTATACAACTTTAGAAAATGTCCGTCACATTATGGTACATATATAAAACCCTTTTTACTAGTTTGTAATTTTACCAGTTCTACAGTTGTAATCCTCCCTAGATTATCTTACGGGGGGCACTGAAAACCAGCGCATTACCGCTACGAGTCGAGTGCTTTCTCCCTGTTTACAACCACACATTGTAACAATTATTAAACCGAAATTAAAAATTGTTTGTTTTTCAATTGTTTTTAGGGTCTCGTAACCAAAGTTACACAGACTTTGTTGTATTGTCTGTCGGTCGTCAGGATGTATTTCGAGAACCGTAAAAGCCTTAGACTGGAAAATTTTTAAGAAAGAACTTAACACAGAAACCGCCATTTGGCCTTATTTTTTAATAGATATCAAAGAATGGCAACCAAAAAAGGTTACAAGGTAAAATGTATTTGACTTCCACTTGAACAAGTAATTTTCAGTAGGTAGGGGATGTGACTGTTGTATTTCGAAATATCTTGTCATACTGTCGATAAACATACTTTATATAATTACTTCTTGGTGAATCCCGTTAGGTAAAAATGGCGGGCAACGATAAAGTATTTTTGAATTTATATCGACTAGTATTCCGTTTCAATTTAGATAAGTCGTATATAAAGATCAAAGGACGCAGCCGAAGCAAATGCGTTGAACACATTTAAATAATCAACACTACAGAATTCAACGTAATAATGATAAAAGCTTATCATAACCTGCGTACGCGCATCGTATGAGGGAATAGTTTAAAACCTATTGAATACACCGCGAATGAAATAGACAAAATATGATAAGTCTATCGAAGAGACGAAAGCTCGCTCTCGTTAAATTTGAGTGGTTTTAAACCGAGAGTGTCATAAACACGTTGAATTTATGATATTGTCTGTGGAAGGACACAATTTCAATTTACTCCTGCCACGTCATTAAACAAGAGTTTTATTAAGTTTCCATAGACAAAACATGAACATAACGCTTTAGTGATGTTGTTTCGTTTACAAATCCGCCGCTTAAACGTATTTTTTAAGACAGGATAGACGAGCTTTGACTTCAATAGATGGAAGATGAAATGCCTACAACATTTTTGGTCATTCTTAAAACAAGGATTAAAAATTATCGGCTTTACCATTTATAGGTTGACGTTCGTTCGGACGGATTTTTTTTATCGATTACCGTATGGCTTAAACGTATTGTAAAAATCAGACGTCTTACTCACGTGGTATATTATTTTATATGAGGTTGCTAAAGGCAGAGTGGCCTAATAACAAAAAACATGATTCTCAATAAAAATGCGCCATTAACTGAGGCGAAAATGAATTTGTACTTTTATTTGTGTAAGAATTAAAGTAACAATTTTTAGTAACTGTGCTCTTGTAGATTAATATTTTTAGACTATGATAATAAAAATAACTCAAGTCATAAAATTGCAGTTAGGCTACTCTGCCTGTAGGGGTCTCATATTATAATCAGTGTGATTGGAGATATTGGCCATCCACTGCTAATGCTGTCGGGACAATGAGTCTGTCATGCATCTACTTGAGTATCGTTCGAGTTTAATAAATGTTTTTTTGGACCCAATCATTACCCCAAACTTACGATCTCCTTTTTATTCTAAACTAAAGCTAAAAATAGATTGAAGCGTCTTTAATTTTACTACAGATGAGATATAAAATCTAAATTATCATTTCACAGAAAAACATAATTTTTAACTTAGTAGATTAATTGTTTAATAATACACGTAATCGCACAAATGTTTTCTCGGAACAATTTGTAATCTGTGACCCAATTAAATATTATCTCAGCGCGTGATCGCGAAGGTAGGTAATAAAACATTTGTCTACAGATTATTTATTGTATTTGTGTTGACACGGTTACGATTAAGCGATTATTATGCCTTACTATGCCGCTTTCGTTAATTCCTGACATAAATATGGCCTATACGCAAACTTTGAGATGACTTCTTCGTTTTGTGATATAGGACAGACAAGACAAGACAAGACAATGTGTTTTCACTTGGTGGAAGGTGTATTACCCTAGCTATATAACATCGTAACAAAATGTACGATGTATTTTGGCTTTGGATATTCGAAAATGAACAAGGAAAGAGATTGGTAATTCTTGTAGCTAGTGTAATAAGAAGAATTATATGTACAAGTACCTACATAATTTTAAAAAAGTATAGCTTTTTATTACCTTCTAAATGCCTAAAAAACTGTTCGCTCTCGTAATAGATTTTACAATTATTAAGAATGACAAGTTTTAATAAATTTATATTTCTATTTATTTACAACTCTAACTAGCAAGTATT